ATTTCTATCTTCAGTAACCAAACTCAATAATGATCTCGCATTGAAATGATCCTTAGATGACAATTTTGGTGATAAAATGGCTCAGTGCGAGAACATTAGGTCTCAAGTTAGTAATAATTCGGAAAGTGAACTATACAAATGCGATTATAAAAGTGTAACTCTAGTGTATCTTACCCTATTACACTACAAACATAAATCCTTCAAAACCAAGTAAATCTGCTTCCGTAATCTTAGTTTAGTAAATACAGTTCACATGGTAAGGTATACTTTCTGTGGAACTCATTACCCACTACTTTTCTTAGCAACCGATTAATAATTAAAACTGAAGGATGAATACGTATTACATTCACTGCAGTATAAACTATCCAGATAGATAGTGAAAATCTAAACGTAAAAACCCAATATACTTTACTCGCTTGGTGATAAGTTGTTTGTAGATATCTACAGTAAAGCTGTGAAGCCTGTATCCCACCTTCAAAGAAACGATTTGAGCGGGAAAATATTTTCGCCTTCATCCTATTCGTCTCTAGATAATGCCACGGTTCTTCTAGTTACTCTTTTACCAACCATGAATATCTTCTGTTGTAAGATAAACTGGCTCCTCTGAAAACAATAAAACTGACTATATAGCGGATGTATAACAGTCTGAAGATGCCACCAAGGCAGAGCCTAAGGCTTCAAGTAAAATGGTAGTACTGGCCTTATTATAGTCTCCACGATCTACCCAAGGTTGGAACTTATAACCAGGTGAATTGTAAAACACGTCAAAAAAGCTAAATACTTTACGGAAAAAAAATCGGATTAATGGAACAAGAGAAGCATGGAATTGTTTCAATCCAAAAAATGTATACCAACGGGGAATAGATAAGAAAATGAGCACCCTAAACTAACAGCTTTCAGTTATCGTTGATATTTGAACAGTCTATCAACCTCATTGATGACTGAATACTATACTCTATGTACCATACGGTAATTAGAATAGCACTAGGTTGAGTTGGGACCATTAGTTGACACAAAATATGTTCACAGTTTATTTTACCTTTCTGTGCACTAACGAAGCCCACAAGCGGATAGGTGTTATTTGATGAAATAAATGTAAATTCGGTATGAAACAACCATTTCACGGTCTGACATATACTTATTAATCTCGAGAAGTAGTCATATGTCGAACTTTTGCGGAAACCGCGTCTTCCCTCGATAACATACTTCTTTAGTCACAACAGTCTACAAAACATTAGTAATAGTCATGGGCGCCATTTCGGAAATTTCGATTTCTAAAACTAGCCTTCCTTGAGAACAAACTTAACTGTCAAATATGAACACTACTGATCGTAATGAGCTGCAACTGATAGCTGTTCTTGCATTAAACATATTTAGAAACCACTGAAATTGAGATGCAAAATATTTATTTATTTCACATACAAACTAATTCATCCTTTAGATATGGACTAGTGATTAAGCAGTGTTGAGTTTCTATTTTTAACGGTTTAGTTGTTGTTCAGTGTTTTCTAGATCGTATACTGTTGTGTTTATGCAACTGAAATTCATTGGTTTACGCAGTCAAATTTCCAACATAAAGTCATGGGTTTACACTAATCTAACTGGTGAGACGAGTGGTTAAGTAACACTAGTTCATAAACAATAGATATGGATCGTAGACCACTGCATGAACCTATAAACAAACGATTGTCGAGTTGCAGAACTATGTATTGTACTGATCACACGATGTTGACATAAGACTGTAGCTTCATTCATCATTTTCGTACGAACTTTACATTCAACTTCCTGACGCATTCGATAAGTGCTCTGAAATGAAAGCACTAAACGCTCCCTCCTGTCACTTGGCACATCACTTTTCTTACAAAATTTACTGTTTAAAAACGAGACTATTTCCCATTATCCTTTAATACGGAAAAAAGACTGACATTAGCGCAGAGTTGATGCTTCAGCGTAAGGCCAGTGCGATATATCGACTACTTTCAATATTAGAAGTGTTCAAATTACTTTCAGCTTAGCGACATAATACTTATTAAAAAAGCGCATATACTGAAGAAAATCTGTGGCTTCTACTTGGGACCACAGTCTTCTTCTAGATAAACAGAAAATATATTACTGCGTACCAACCAAAATTACTAAACCGCATATCAACCCATTGAAGTGAAAGTCAACAAGAATGGATGAAAATCTCGACATCAAGAATTTTAACAAGCGGTAATGCAAAAGAGAAAAGGACATACGACGTCTATATCTCATTTAAACTGTGACATGAATATATATGCGCCACGGCGGGTTCATTCTGATTCATATCACTTTTTAACCATGAATCTCCGTATTCTCACAGACCCTGAATTTCTCACCCAATTTACTATCTCGTAGCTATATTGAGGGATATGACGTCTCGGTATGGTCATTTTCAGTCTTTTTCCAACCTAATCCTACACACGCTAACGTTACGCATCACGATAATAACAAATGTCCGAGTCACCTCAGTTGATAAACGTCTATAGTCTCATCAAATGAGTAGGAGATGGACACTATCTAGATGAAAGAGAGATGTCAGTTGAACTAGGAAACGTTCGGTTCGGGTAGCTGTGATATACGTTAGGTATACCCACCCACCATCTACACTGACATGCTGAGAGCTGAAATGGAGTTAGGTTGGGAAGTTAAAGGTGGCCACACTAAAACACCAGAAGTTGTTGACTGTTGATTCAAACTGTGTAATAAAATGAAGACTTCCAAGTTGGGGTCCGCATGACAAACAAAACTAATGGTTGGATAACGCTTAAGATTGCTCGTAGTGATGTATATTATCATCTAGACCATCGCATCATTAAAATATCTATTAAAGTGTTTACCTTCCTTGCGTCTAGACCTTTTACGAATTTGTAAGGCAGGAACCCGATGTCTTTCGTTTGGTTGCCTTGTAGCTTGATAAACTGCAGGAATCTGAAACGGAACGCTACGTCCAATGGCAGTATGATTGGGATTGTTTTGTTTACTTAATAATGTACTCCTAGCTACTTTATTGCCAGTATAGTGATTCAACCGAACAAATAAAAAGGTGATCTAAAGTTTCAAGTTTTACCAACTTTCTGCATTCATTAGTGTGAACTATTAAATGCATTTGGTCAGAGGATTAACAATGTCAACAAGAGTAACATCAGGACAAGTTGAAAACGTATTGAAAGAACTCTTTTACCAAGCAACTCGACTGATACCATTCAGTTTTCAAGCTGAGTTCATGAGTTAGAAAATGGGATATTAGCGCTGGTTAATCGAATTTGAAAGTCATGAACAATCGACAAAAATAAGTGAGGACGGAGAGATAGATGAGTTAAAATAAATGAGGGTGAGCTGCAAAATCCTGTTCCAAACAGTAACCAGGTGTACATAAAAACGCCATATTAGTTCACCCGGAGACAGAAAGTGGCTTAATGTTATCTCCATCCAAACGTGGAGTTGCGACTCTAACCAATAGACTCAAACGATAGGTTGCGGGTTTCAACTCTACTCCACTTACCAACGTCTAGGCTGCGAAGTAGTACTGTTAGGTTAATAGTTATAGTTGTGTCTACTGCACAAACGTGCACATCCTTGCTGAGAAAATTCCGATTTTTGCCCGTCTTCGATCCAAAGAAGTGTGAAATGCTAAAAGTTGTATAAACCAACAGCTCGCTTGTTAGTACTTTTTAACGAGCTTTGGACAGCTGTACCTGATATCAAAACGCTTTTCCTGCGACTTTTGATTCCTAAATAAAAAAGCAATCTACAAGAATACTTCTAACTTTCGTAAAATCACTAAATGATAGGCATCAACTGTGAAATGTTTGCACGAGGACATCTGAAGCCCCACATAGTGTGATGGACAAATCTGTTAACCAAGATGCACCAACCTAGAAGTCCGATTTATTCGACAATTTTTTTGGCACAGTGCACTTAGCAAGAAAGGTAATTTAGTGATTCCAATTTTTTTTACATCTACAGTCTCAGGAGTCAAAAATCAACGTCAAATAGAACCTCTGGACGACTTTTAGATAGGGTAGCGAGGACTATGAAAACGACATCTAACTACAGTTTTTAATGATAAGGGCAGCAAAAAGACGATATGGTCTCCTGTCACATTGAAAATTCTATGAAATACTTATCGTGTATTAGTCAGGTTCAATTTTTACTGTAACGGAAGGATTCACCTAAAGACACAAAGACTTGGAAGTGTCATAGAAAATGTAGTAACGCCTCCATATACGGTCAATTCGGCCAACCTACCAACCGAGAATTAAAAGCTACAAGCGCGTAAGACCAGGGATCTGGAGAACGCGGTTTATTGACGCTATTACTTTCTATAACTGTTATCACCTACACAGCTTTCCAGGAAATAAACATGGGTATTAATACATTCAACCTTCATAATGTTGAACCATCATACTTTAGTGATCGAGGACAGCTTCCTGCTAACTAGCATGATTTTAATGTTCTCAGAGAAAAAGCATGTCGCGTCACCTAACTAAACCATCCTCCCTTCTAATAATTCGTATCAATATCATCAAGAATCACCTCACGTCGCTGGCAACTAGGGTTGGAGTACCATCACAACTAATGAGATACTGACGCCTAACTTGCCGTTGCAAACCTTAAGCAAAAAAACCTTAGAAATTAATGCTTACTTTACCCTGAAAGATGTTGCCTTTATCATAGGGTAAACAGTTAGCTAGTTAGTTAGTTGAACCAAGGATGTGAGGATCTGAATTATAGATGCCAAGGATGAAACTAATGCATTTAGTACAAAGTAAAGGCTTGGATTCCACACAAACAGGGAACTACAAGCTGTTTTCTGTGCAGTCACTTCATTCGAAAGAAGTCCCGAGATCGCTATCCATGTCTCACTTTATGTATTCCGGCTAAGTCATTACAGATCCATTTCACATTTGAGAACAAGATATTATATATACGCAGTAGCAAGTACCTTAACCAACCCTGTGTGAGATAAAACTCGTCATCACGTACCAAACGTTTAATGAAGTTTATGCTGCTGGTACTGAAATCTCTCCAGCATTCACCTTTTCGATGATCACTTGAGGAGACTCTCCATCAACTGTACAACCGACTGACCGGGCAGTCCCAAGGACCTCCTTAACTGTCCCCGTAAGCTCACGAGCGATACTTCTTGGGCGCATTGTTCGCGCAATCTCCAATATTTCGTCAAATGTCACATTGCCAGTATGCTTAACATTCTTCACCTTCTTCCTGTCACGTGGTTCTTCCTTCAAAGCCTTGATTATCAGGGAAGACGCAGTAGGAACTACACTTATGGTTGCCTGTCGATTCTGGATGGTGAGCTTGACACATATACGTAAACCTTTCCATTCTTGTGTGGCCTTTGCAATGTCGTCACCAACCTTCTTCGGTGATAATCCGAGAGGACCAATTTTAGGTGCTAAAGATGAAGTGGCACCAACCTCACCACCAATAACTCTTAGATAACCTAGGGAGATGACAGATACAACAAAAGAACTTACAATAAGTGACAGCACTAGGATCAAGTTTCGGGGGCATGACGATGACAAAACCTGGCGCTCTTTACTGACGGAAATTCAAAGCGCTACTGAACACTTGAACCGTTTCTGAACCGAAAGTCAAAATGCAGTTACATATGAGTTCAGATGAATAACTAAGAAATGAAGTAAAGATGTGCTTAAGTTAGCATATCCAAATGGTAAGTATCAGAAGTAAAGAAACTTTAGCCCAACTAGCTTCTGCGTTTAAAAAAAATGAGCCAAACCAATCTTTAGTCACTGACGTGTGTAGAAACAAAGAAATTGGAAAATACTTTGACATAAACGGGAACAGCAAGTGACTTGTAACTGGATTCACACTAGCATTGTAATTGCACGTTAAGTCTACGATCAAAGGACTCGGGTGCCTGGACCGCTTCCACAGGGAGAGCGTTCTAAGATTTGAGAAACCCTGGGGAGTAGAAGCTGCATCTGGCACCTAACCCGCTTTGTTTTTGACTTAACTGCAGATCTCATTTCCGGAGACTAACGCTGTAAATGAGGGAGAATAACTGAAGTGGTTGTCCTTGGGTGTGTAGCGTCACACACTTCCCCAAAATCAATGGCCTAGGGTTTGACGACATTCGACATTGATGCTGACCTTGATAGTTTAACTGGACTCGCTAAGCTGAAGGCACCCGGTCAAGCAGTCCCTCCATTTGGCACGCTGTCGTGTTACGTTGCACTGCTCGTATTCGACTCTCTAGCCAGTTAGTTGGAACGCATCGGTATTTTGGCATAACCATCCAAATATACTATTCCATCCGACTACGCTATCGTGTTCTTCCTTGGTCTCGTATTCGTGGGTATATAACAAGTCCGAATAATTAGTGATTGGTCTTTGCGTCTGTCAAGTTCGCACCAGGACAAATCCTAAAGGTGCTTAGGATATTGTAAGCCATCATCGAATACCTTCTGGCCTTCTGTGCTGAGGAAGACATAGATCAAGCATCATCAGCCGTTCGTTTTATGACCTAAGCTTAAGTCCTGCAGCATGCATTGTTGACCTCAACTGTGGGGTGCTAGACTTCATTAGCACACAAACTATGACCTAAACTTGACCAAATAGTGTGGTAAATATCCGGTGCTAAGCAAGATTGACACCCAATATAATTTATACTAGTGTTAGGCATAGCGTGTTGGAAGCAAAATAATTCCAGCGTTTTGCACGGTTCTGAACATGTCCTTGGTTTCAGTTACATCTCTTTGATATTCTGATTCCTCACTATTTCCCTGAAGAAGCTCGAATTAAAGTTTAGCGCAAGATGCTGGAGTTATTTTATTTCAAGTACCCTGCGACCTACACAACCATAAACTGTACCTAATGTAGGCTTCGTTTGTCTTTATGCATGGAGGGACAAAGAATATAGTCTCCAACCCCTGATGAGGTCATTTGAAGATGCTGAAAATCTGGTGGAAACACATCCCATCGAAATGTCCGGGGACGCATCCAACAGAAGTTAGCCCTAAGTTCTCACGGAAACGGTTGGTTACAGTAAGCACAGGACTTTAGTTCTTTAGAGACAAAACAGCTAACCTCTTCTCTATATGTCACCTCTCTAGTTTTGTGCCATAGAGACTGTGTGCGTGTCGTGCGTCATATTTTAGATGAACAGCCTTCCATTTTCCGTCTCCCTGACTCCTTATATTTGCCATAGTTTCGTCGTCAACGAAAAGAATTTCAGCAAGACTGGGAAACTCATTTCATGTATGTATGGTAGAAAAAGAAGCGGCCGTAGTGCTGAGACATGGAGGAACCCGTTTGAACGTTCTATTCCTTTAGGTATGGAAAAATTTAGATGACCCACCGATTATAGGTTGGTTGGTCCCAACCGGGCTTAATTTTTAGAAAAGTATCACAGTTGACACCACCTAGTGCTCTAGGAAAGCATAAATAAGTAAAATCAATTTCTACTCGATATTAAACCATACCAGGGCACTTATGCAATGTGGTGAACAAATCGGCAGGTCAAGTTAACCATTTTCTGAATTCGAGCAACTGGGTCACAAGGAATATGATCGATTCCCGAATCCATCATAAATTAACAACCCCATTACTTTGGAAGGTACAAAAACCGAATCCACCAGCCTGTAGCTTTTCCGAGTTATTTCGCTGATCTACTCAGGAGAGTGAGCACTTCCTCTTGGCTCAAACAACTTGCTCAAAGGTTCGCCCGAAATTGGTGTATCTTCTTACGAAACAAACACACGGATGCCTTACGCCCCGGAGAGTCATCCTTTGTAAGCAGTAGTGATTTCCTCTGTACTCGTGCAACGCATAGGTCAGCGACAGAGTTTTGCTTGGTCACTGGGGTATATACATACTGCTTATCAGGTGATAGATGATGAAAAAGGCTTCCAAAAATTGATCTGCCAAGAGTTCCATCCCATGGCAGCCTACGTAAGGCACAATCGCCTCCAGTCTCGTATTTCTCTCTCGTAGCCTTTCGTTTTGCAGCCCATTGGGAAGAACGGGAACCCCGCTTGATAGACGACCTCCGTTTGCCCAGAATGTTTCTAATGTAGTTGTTATGTTCAAGGAGGCGGAAGGGCAACTTTCATGAGCTTTCGTTTTAGGGCTATCATCCCTTTCGGGCACTTGCAGGGCTTTCTGCGTTGCAATACCCGCTAGGTTCAAGGTCTACTTCATGGCTGTCCACTTTCAGGAGTAACGGTGGGCGTCCCTGGTACTTGTGTTTTTAAATGTTCCTTGCGTTCCCTAGCTCTTACCTCTAAGGCGAGCTTCCCGACTACCACTCAAGAGTTACTCTGTCGTCATTTTATCAGGCTATAGGATATCTGATAGAGCTTCCACATCCCCAACAACACTTGGGTTGGAGGGCGTAAAGGCGGCTGCTGTCACCATGCGTAATGGATGTTCATGACCCATTGTTGACGTGTTTACTCGATAAATGTACCACATTTTCTCACATCAGTCAACGACAGGGCCATGCTGAAGGGCTGTGGGACATTAGACACTATCACACAACCGAAGTGCACAATGTCCGTGATCAAGCCAGCTCCTTTCTCTTTTCAGATGACCTGAGCAATCCTTCCGTTGTTAGATTTCTCAACTCTAGATTCCTCATGACGAGATTTGCTTCTGAGAATCTCAGTTTCCGGATTACTTTCTTGCTGTCCACTGTCCGTTCTTCCTATCCGTTAACGCACCAACGATACCTCGGGGACGCCTTTCGATTCGGATGTGACAGCGGTAGTGTTAATCGTGGCTGAGCTCTCCGCACTGGTAGACGCAGCTTGCCTAAGATCTGTGAAAGCTTCTTGGAACGGGCCATTGCGTACCAAACTGAGCAGTTAGCCGATAACGATGTCCTTTGCGATTTTGCTGATTGCCGATTGTGACAATGATCGGCGCAAGTTATAGAGGCTAATGGCCCTAAATATCAAGTCGAAATGCGATGTGGACCTCAGGCTAAGGGCCACCCGATCAACTTTTCCATTTCACTACTCCGTAACATGAACGTTGACAATTCTTCCGTGGAGCGACTTTATGCGGAAGCCTAGTTTTGGGTCGTGAAGGCAATATGCCGGGAAAGACTGCCTCAAACTGAAGAAACTTATGTTATCAGCGCATTAACGTTAATGTTAAGGCGGTGAGGAGCGGGTCTATCCACCAAGAGCCAATATGCATTTCACCAAAGTCGCCGAAAGGCGAAAACCCGAACAAAATTCAGCGCGAAAACTGAGTAGTGTCGACAAAACTGCGTTAAGTATCCGTAACGCATGAGCTAACCATGTTGGCTCATTATTTTTCTGAGGTTCATCAAGTCGGTTGCTAAAAATGTAAGTGACTCCTCAAAAGGTAGACCTGAGATCACTATGCACAAGGGCTTCTATAGACAATTGTTCACAAGAAGAGATCTACGGACAACCAGTACTACTACCCCATTCCGAATGCAGTCGAATTGCTTTATAAATTAAGCTCAAAACGCATTTCAGGTACAACTCGACCACACTTCTCAGATCAACTACGCTTCGACAGCGACGACAGAGGTAAAGCTGAATTACTCTCTCATGCAAAGAGATTGCGATACGTCCGAACTCCAGCTGCTCCCCACCACACAGGAGTAATCATGTAATTAACAGATTCCAGCACGTTCTGGAAGCAAGACCGACTGTGCCCGTCAACTCATATCTCTGGACGTTAACGCGAATTGATACTGAATTCCTTCAAAGCGGTATAGAACGGAGGATGTGAAGCTAGCTACGCTTAACAGGATGTAAAAGCTCATTAAAGTCTCACGGGCCATGCAACCGTGTGCGCTTTTAGCCAGCTTGCTTCACCATCGTATCCAACAAGCAACAAGTAGCCTGAGGTATCGCACAACTACACTCCTAAACTTCGAGGGTTGAAATGAAGCTCACAAGCTAAGTGTATGAGTGGTAGCTATGAGTCTACCCGGAAACAATTCAAGCGAATGACAAACCTGTGCAACAAAATCTTGGGACAGTGTAATCGTCAACACCAATTTCGGCTCAGCAGAATGTTTAGTTACATCTAATATGCCTTCCTAACTATACAAAACTGGTCCAACAAATCAGTGCAACAGTGTCCCATGGAATTAGTTCGAAAGGACTGACTATCTTCGGTGGCGAACAGGAAGCACTTTTGGCTGGCCAATACTCTTAGGCTGCAGCACTACGTGCCATGACTTCAGTCGTATGTAGACAAACAAATAAATATTTTATTCTCCTGTTGGTAACTTAACATGAGATGAGCCAGTTTAGAGGCATCACCGCAGAGATATGCGTTGAAAAATCTACAAGATCTTACAGGTCCTGAGTGATGCGGAAGGGAGGCGACTAAATTCCACTAAAAGCAGCAGAAGATTCCGCCAGTTGTGACATGAACAAGAAAATGCCACTTTTCAGCACGTACAGAGTTAAGCTCTGGGTCGTTTCCAGCCAGTCTGTGTCAAAATGTTTCACAGTGTATTGATGCCTCTTAAAATTAGCTTACATGTTCGCGCAAAACAAATAACTTCATCCTTTTCTAGGGGGCCCTAGGGTTTCGCTGGGTTTCTACACGATCAGTTCATTCATACTTTTAGCCAGAGGCTGGTTCCTAAACGCTAGCAGTCGGGTCGTGTCCCCTTCGTCTTGCAGGCCACTGTATAAATAATCCGATAATCGACAAGTCTGCCACCCGCTGATCCCCGTCAAAGCTTAACTGCTTGTCACCAGGCTGTCACACTCACCAAGCCCGGATGAATTTTTGCTACCTCAAAGCAATTAGAAGTCCAAGTGAAGCTGCAAAACCAACGTTATTGGTTCCTCCCCCGTCTCTAAGTTTCTCAAAATGAGACCAAGATAATTCTGTTACACACGAAGGTGACTTGACGTGGTTACGGCAGTGGACAAGCAAAGACGTTTCATTTGTTGATTCCTATAATTATTGGGTGTTCAAACAACTTCAAGGAGGTAATAAAGTGGCAGAGATGATGATTTCGTCGGAAAGGATCGTTGGCCACAGGCTCAGGTGGACCCTCCTCCTGTATTAGGTGGGGAATAGGTGCATGCCTCGATAATCTGATGCCTGTGACCCCGAAGAGAATTGTTAGAAGTTGCAACCAAGAGTGTTTTTGCTAGATCTTCAAAAAGTGCAGCACGACCGCACTCAGAACTCAAAACGGCGAGCTCACACCATTCTGAGGACTAGGGTTCCAAAATGCATAGTGGCTCCTGACCTATATCTTTTAGAATATTGCTGATTTACAGGCCACTTCGAAGTGAAGCCCTGAATTTTGAGCATGCTAGGTCACTCGCTTCAGTAGTCTTTTGAGCTCGAGAATTTTGAACCAGAAAACGACCGGTAAGCCTCACTTTCTGTCCCTTAAACTTTGTGGACTGCAGAATGCTGTTACTACAGGTTTAGTATTGGCGACTGTGTAAGAGTTCTTCGAAGACAAGCTGTATGCCCAGATTGGGCCAAAGCGTAAGCCGAGCTGATATTTCTTTTTGCTGTACAGCTAGGTTTATCAACGTTGGAAATAACTGTCTACCGTTTCCGTAGGCAGAGGCTTCTAAGAAGACAATTCATCATCAACTGCTGGTAAACACTGCCACAATTTTTCGCGAGTACTATTCTTGAATACCATTGCTTACAACCACATGCAACTCCTCCACAATCACGCAAACCGTAATGACCATCCCTATGGCATCATATTAAGATGTTTCCATGAAGCCTTTTGACACTTATTCATCCAGTGTTACGAAGAACCATGCATTTACTGCAGTGTTCTACTTCCGAGTGTTTGACCAGCACCTCTTGGTTCACTACAACTGCAAACAGTAAGCAAAAATATAGAGGAATACCTGCGACTTTATCTACAGGTAAGAAATCCTTGACTCAACCCCGAGATTCAGCGGAATTTGACCACGATTCACGGAACTACTAGGGGCCATGCAAAGCATTATGGCGGCTATGGTGGACAAATGTTCAATTCAGCATGAACAAAAGAAAGTAGATCGTTTCATCAAGGAGTTGATGTACTGTTGACGCCATTATTTATTATGGTCTACGCCGTACATCTTGACGTCTCGATGAACCTGGAGGTGCATGGCCTTCAAAAATATATTGAATCTGCCGTGCTGTTTCCCCCGGTTTACACGACCCCTCAAGTTGTAGCACGGGAGTAATTTGTCCAGCATTACCTCCTTGAGAAAGAACTTACTGAGCCGCTTTCCCCTCTTTTTGAATGATGGTTTCACACGTTCATTAAACACGACTTCTACTTCTGCCGAGAACTCTAAAAGCACAACAAAAATTTAACACTTTGTGTGTGATGTAACATCTCTCTTTCAGGCTGGGGATTTCCACTACCTGGGATGAGAGGAAGATGGAAAAAGAGCATTACTGAATATTTTTCGCCACTAAAAGTTATAACCGTGTCTGTAAAAATGATATGTAACTGTCAATTCAGGAATAAATAACCATTACTTTTATTAAAAGATTGTCTCACCATCATTCACCGCAGGAGACAGTCATGCTTATGAGGCGGCAGTAATGTTAGGGCCTTTTGCGATTACCATGTTATCAGGCGAGGTTCACTTGTTCGGAAAGCTGCTTGCACCTGTGTATAACACGATAAGACCCTCTAAATTGGTTATCGTCCCTCACACAGGGACTTCAGAACCATATGTTACCACAGAAAGTCCATCTACTGTTCTAAAAGACTTTCGGGAATTGTTACTGGAAAACTCCTTGGCGGAACATGTTTCCCAGTGTACTCGCTGGGGGCCTGGCGGTAAGACACCCCGACTAGATTATATTTTCACAAATCAGTTCATTGGGGTAAGCAACTTGAATGTTTTCAGCCCTCTTGGCCTGGGTGACCATGCAGTTATCTCCTTCAGTATTTCTGTATCTAAGCCACCCGTTCCCGATCAGCCTCTGGTTAGGAATTACAAAGGGACTGATTTCGAGAAGGTTCGGCAAGATCTAGAAGGTTCCGCTTGCTTGAATTGCGATGACCTACTGGATCTTGATGCTAGATAGGATCTGTTGAAGAATATAATCCTCCAGACGACAAAAGACAACACTCCTCTGATTCTAAGAAGAACTAACAAGTTCTTCTCCTTCTGGCTTAAGTCAAGCACGAGCAAACTAATACGGCGTAAACGGTCGTCTTGGGATCTATGGAGGTGTACTAATGGCCCTTTTGATTGGCCAAATTATAAGTACACCCGCAACAGATGTACAATAAGAATCAGAAATGACAGAATAAACCACCAGACACAACTATGTAGAACCCTGGAGGGGAATCATGGGATGCTGTACATCCTGATGAAACAGAAGAGTAACGGTTCACTTAGCTTACAGGACCCCATTAGTTTAGAGATTCTCCATTCCTACACCGAAGTAGCAAACCTGCTAGCTAATGAATTCAAAAACAACTGTCATTTGGGAGGCAAAACCCCGCCTCTGTCGGACACCCTTATCACAGAGGGACTAAATCATATGGAGTTTAAACCCTCTGCAGTTGTGGAAATATTAAAGAAACTGAAACCGAACAAGTCTCCAGGAATCGATGGGATTCACCCAACAGCACTCAAAGAGTATGCTGATGTTCTGTGCGCCCCACTGGCAAACCTCTTTAGATGCTCGTTTCTGGAAGGCAGGTTATTCTCTGATTGGAAACAGGTGGCTGTCGTCCCAATTTATAAAGGTGGAAACGAACTACTCGCCTCCAACTAAAGACCAATCTCCCTGATCTCTTCAGTTGCGAGGGTCACAGAGAGAGTCATAAATGACTCACTTCGTGATCACTTACTTCAAAAATCAATCCTCAACGACTGTCAGCATGGCTCTCTACCAGGAAGGTTATGTAACACCAACTTGTTGAAGGCTTGGAATAGCTGGAAGAAGTGTCTAATTATGATAGTTGACAAACATAAAGGCAGTCCCAGTTCTTACTCTCTAGGTGAAATAAATATCTGTCACTCTAACATGGAACAAGACCTGGGAGTTGGACTAAACGATACACTAGGAGCCTCTGTTCACTGTCGCCTTTCAGCCAATAGGGCTTATGGAGTCCTGGGGTTTCTCTCACGAACCCTAAGGTGTCTAACTCCTTCTCTTTTCAACACAGCGTATGCTCTGTACATTCGCTCTCACTTAGAAAAAACTCGCTTTTAGTGCCCCCATACTTGAAAAAGGACATTGCCGTCCTAGAACGGGCACAGAGAAGAGCTACAGAGAAAGTGATTGAGTTACGGCACAGACCGTACCCAGACCGCCTAGTTGCTCCTCAGCCGCACCCAGCACAATACTAGAGGATCAGAGGGGACATGATCATGATGTACCACATCGCTCATAATCCCCTCCATCCCAACAGATCCCTTCTAAGCTTTAGTCGGAAACGCGACTTGAGGGGTCATCCGTTAAGAATAGAGCATGAGGGAGCACGTACAAAGATCCGTGCTAACTCATTAGCAGTTGGAGTCTGTAAACTGTGGGATTCCCTCCCTTCAACAGTTGTTACAGCCCCAACCTCTGATACCTTTAAAAGGAGGCTAGACGCACACCTCGAGTCCTACGGTACCGATGGGTTACCCTCGATGCAGTAATACTACATTGAGACCAGATTAATTAATTAATCGTATCTCTATCCTTTCAGGTTTCTCAGAACCGGGACGATAATTGTGACCATTCCAGACTCAGAACGTATTCCAATAAGACAGACGTAGAACCCAAGGGATGGCAGTTCACTAATTCTACAACACGAAGTTTGAAGTTTAAGATCCGTCATGGTGATTGGTTTACTGGCCTCATTCCTGTATGCAAAGTCAAGTTATTGGCGAAGTCTGAATCCTAATTCTCGGAATACATTTTAGGGTTTCACATTTCGAAAACTCAAAAGTTTGTTATTTTCGTTCGACAGGTATTGAATTTTGAGTCTGCTTTTTATAGTTTTCACGCTACGCTTCAGCTGGTTTATGTAGTTTAGACATTCCAACCACCACTGGGAGGCAGCTTTGACGTTAGCAGGTATAGCTCGTTTTTAATGGAACTAAACAATACTCGTAATATTTATAAATATTGTTGAAACACTGAAGTCCCAACATTCTTATGTAATTGCTTTTCAACAAGACTACGTTATCGACTGTAGTGACATGAGTTATTTAGCAATAAACCCATCAAGTATCAGTCCACAGACATTCAATAACTCGGCTGTATGGCTCTGATAACGGTATACTGATTTGTTCCACTTCCAAGTCAACATTTTCGCGGGGCAAAATAATGTTTTTAGTTATAAGGATAGTAGGCCAGTTGGCCCATGTGAAGATCTAGTTTTTCCTTAAACGCATTGAAAAAAGGTGCTGATACTACTACCTGAGGTAAGGAGTTCCAGTCGTTGACAACACGATGGGAGGAACGGAGATTCACGCCAAGTTGATTCGATCGCGGCTTCTGAATTTTCTTGTGATGCCCTCGGAGATAGTCAGTCCTAGCAGAGGTGAAAAGATAAGAAATATCAGTACCGAAGTCATTATTACGAATAAGAAATGCCAGCATGAGAACACCCTGTTCCCTACGGTAAGACAGTGGGAATAAGTTCAGCTGATCTAGTCTTTCCTCATAGGACAGATTCGAAAGGCCTGCCACAAGCTTAGTACCTACCCTTGGAACACGCTCGAGTGCGTCAGCATCCTCTTTTAGGCATGGGCTGGCCGCCTGAATGCAGTATTCCAATTGCAGTCTAACGTAAGTAGAATAGAGTATTCTGAACATGTCCGGGTCAAAACATTTGAAAGCTCTGTGAAAGGACCATAATACGCGGAAGCCCTTTGCTGCAGCTGCATTACAGTTTACCGAGGTTTTCAAATCATGACTAATGATGACACACAAGTCTTTTAGTTCAAAGACTGGGAGTAGTGGTGTACCACCAACGGAATACTGGAAACAATTGCTATGACCAATGTGCATTATTGCGCTTTTGTTAAAGTTGATTTCCAGGGCACCAACGAGGCGTGTTGCAGATTGCAATGAAAACCTGGGGCGAAACACGGGTTTGTGCAGCATTTTCCCGAGTTTTTAACCCCGTGTTCTGCCCCACGTTCCCTCGAGGAAATGTTGACAGGGTTTTGATAAATATTGTGTAAAAACCAAAGACCTAGAACCGTTCCGCAAGACCGAGGAGTGAGCAAAATGAAATCAACTAATTTACACAAGCTCGTTAAACAGATATTGGATTACATGCGGTCGATTTATCTGCTTGCACCTTATTCATCAGCAAAGTTGTGGATTTTGTATGGTATGCAGGTGTTAATCCTTTACATACAGTGAGCTTTAAAAAGCGACATAAATGGCAAACTGCTTCTTAAATTAGTCGGTTAGATGAGTTAGTGAATTGTATTTTGAAGTAATGCTATATTGCCTCTATAATTATATGATCATGAATGGCTATCGATTTAAAATGGGCTACAAGCTTGTTTGTCTAATATATATGTCTGTCCGGTCCTCTCTTGTTGAGTTACCTGATAACGTGAAGACCACACCTTCCTCTGTCTGGTCCCCATACTTGATAACGTGACGCTAAAGACAGTACTCCAAAACTAAGACGTTTGTCCTTGGCTTTTTTTAGTTACTCCAACCTGACCCTTTGACGCATTCCAACGTAACGGGGAGAAAAAGAAAAAACAGCTTCGTTCGTAAGACTACTGAAGCAAGAGAGATGGAGAAGGTATCAGTGTTAGTTAAAACCCGGCAACTATTTTGGCTTATTTTGGGTACCAGCAAGAAGAAAACAATGAGTGCAACCATCACCGTAAAGGATGAGACGCTGATAATTTCCCAGGGCAGGTGATTAGGACGTTGGGTAGACAACTTTGAAACACAATTCATCTGGTCCAAAGCCGCTCTTCAGTTGCGCAGCATTCAGCCTGAAGTTGAATAGGATGTAGATGTTGGTCCTCCATCTCGCGTTAAGTTGGGAAAGCTGTATTGAGCCTAAAATGATGTAAAGCAGCAGGACTTGATGGTTTTCCACCTGAGGTTTTCATGCATTGAGGTAGGAAATTGCTGCTTAAAGTGACGGGGGTACCAGGTATTGTATGCGAATCAAAGTTAGTGTCGTCAAACTGGCGTACTTCAGTGATCATCCCAGTCTATAAGAAGCGGAAAAAATCTTGTGACAACTAGCGGGTAGTTATTTTGACGAGTATTATGTCCAAGATCCTAGGGTTCATAGATCCCAGACACCTAACTGGAGCTCAAAAAGAGCAAAATTGACAAAGCTGGAGGAGGGTGCATTGATCATACTTTCACCCTTCTACAAGTTTTGTAACAGGCATACCTACTAGTGGCCGACAGTCGCTATATTTCTTGACGTAAAGATGGCATTTGACTCAGTCGACCGTGAGATATTGTGGCAGTGTCTGACTGCGAAAGGAGTACCAAGCAAGTATATGACGCTTATCAAAACTCTCTACTCAAACTCACGCAGCCGCTTAAGGGCTTATGGGAAGTTGTCATCTGCATTGACAACAACCAGTGGTGTCCGCCAACATAGCCCACTATCATCGTCCCTTTTCAGCCTCTTTATAGATGTACGTTAGATACGTCTGACTTCACAGGGATTAGCCTATTCCTTGGAGATAATCTGGTTCATTTGGAGTATGCAGACTGTATTGTCCTGCTGGATAAAGACGCTGATACGGTGCAGGGTCTTCCAAACGCGTTGAGCAGAAATCTCAGTATGCTAGGCATGCATTCCACTGGCACCTGTCAAATGTAAGATGATGCTCCAGGACCAGTGTACTGCAAGTATTCCCAGTTTAATGATAGACTGGGAGTGAAGTGATTGAATGTGCGGACCACTTCATTTACTTGGAGTTGCATCAGCCCAAGCGGGTTGATTGCTGATGAAATCTCAGCTCAGATACAAAAGGCCCGTTTGACTTTTGCTAACTTGCGTTATCCTTGGTGCCGACAGGTAAGATATCCGACTATCTATCAAAGGATGAGTATACTGTGCTGTAGTCCTGTCCTGTTGTACAGCTGTGAGACATGGTCATTAAAAGTAGAAGACAGAGCGATTACAGGGTTTTGGTCACAGATATCTTCATAGCACTGCTCGCGTATGGTGGAATCACTGTATGAGCAATATTGAAGTCAGTTGGGGGAAGGGTACTAGGCAAAACAGGCAACTCGCTTGATGAGGTTGTGAACCTTGGTTGACTGAGACGGGTTGGACATGTAGTGTGCATGCCAAGCCACGGCCTACCTCGACGTGCAATGCTAGAGTAAGTTGGGTTAGTTTGGAAGAGGGTTCAGGGTGGCCAAACCAAGACAGTCGTTGAAGTTTCTTACTGTTGGTCTGAGTCGTGTAGGGCGATGTAAACTGCCTGGTTGGGGTACTCGAGATGGAAGGAATCAGCGGTTGAGTACTTCTGGTGACATGGCTGAAAGTCGATCGATGTTGTACAGATGTATTCACTTCTTGACACCTTCTAAGGCTTGAATGTTTGCACTAACCGTTATCTTCAGATTGTTTATTGTCAAACAACTGTCTACTTTAGTATTACTCTTTCCATCCACCTGTTCTTTGTTTACTACTGCGAAGTGTGGCAACTTGTTGATTTTGTCAGTCAGCCACCGATTCTCGGTATTTACGATATGAATAAGAAGAGACGATATTTTCAATGGGTAAAGGATAGATCGGAAAAATCTATTTTACTGGTTTGTGAAAAATAGGTGGAGTCAGGTATCACAATATACATAGATACTTGGAAGTCATACATCCCTTTGTCTGAAATGGGTTTCTTCTTTCAAGTTATTGTTCACGAAAAGCACTTCGTTAATCCAAAAACTAGTGTGCACAAACAACGTTGAAAATATATGAAGTCTTAGAAAAATCATAAAACCTTTGACATAATCACGAGGGTATATGATATGTTCTCAAATAGATGACTGGGAATACAAAAAGTGATTTGTTTTCAAAGATGATAAACCCATAGAAAGTCTGGATATCGTTATTGCTTATTTGAAAAGATTTACAGATCGTTAATGAATTACTATTCTTCTTACTGAGGTTAAGCCCATGCACTCATTTCTAGTAGGTTAGGTTAGCCTTCTGATGGATCGTGCAAATGGACATCTTTTGAACTCTAAGCGAACGGTCTGACTTGGCTTCCAAACTCACCTACAATGTGTGGACTGTTTTCCAGTTTGGATGTTTCTAAGGCTGTCTGTAAAATAAACATGTCACCACTAATCCTTGTAAACGTCTTATGAACTGTCAGTGTCCTGGAAGTTTGAGCTGCAATTATTTGACAGTACGTTGTAGTCTTCAAATCATGACTTAGGATAACTCACGTCGTTGAGAGTCAGTACTGGAGGAAGAGGAATCCCAACAATGTCTTAGGTTCGGTGTGTACACGTCCTATGCATTTGACTGCACTCTTACCTCTGTTGACATGCGTAGTAGTTCCAACCGTGTCATTAAGATTCGACTGTTAATTGAAGCTCAAAACTCAGTTTACACCAAACATTTCATTTCATTTACTACGTTTGTTAAACTATCACTAATGTATAAGAAACGAATTCAACACAAGCGCTGTGATCAGCCTTTGCTTTGCTCAGTTGCATCTTAAAATCCAGCCGTCTTTTATTATTAAACGTGAGCTCCCATTTTCAAGCATTTGAGTAACTCCAGTTCATTTGGGAAACAAAATATACAGGTGGGGTTTCTTCGTCAGTCATGGGAATTTTTACTGTTGGCATAATGGAGTTATAAAACATCTATATTTATTTTTATTTATCAAAGTGGACGCTGAGACTTGAGAAGTTGGGGTTTTAGTTGTTATTTTGTGCTTTCATGTTACGAAAAGATTATCTCAATTGTACCTGTGTCTCAAAACCATTTCAGTGATTGAGGGTGTGTTGGCTTTCTGTGCTTAGTGCAAACCCTTTACATCTTGAATAGGAACTAAGAAAAAGCTGAACAGTATGTAGTTCTTTCTTCTTGTGGTGTGATGGTGGTTAACCTATCGTGTCTATCCTGACACAAACAATTTGCTGGGTTTTGAATAGTAAATTTTATAAAAATACACAGCGAAACTAGAATGAAAGTAATCGTACGAATGGCTATCAAAAACAAGAAAATTAAGCAAGAAGAACAGGGTTAGCAACAGCAAAAGATCGACGGTGCTATATTTAGAACTAAAAAGAGGGTAGGGTATAAACGCATGTTTACCACAACAGTCGACTTTGACCCATCCCTGTCAGTCTTCACTTATTGAAACTGTTGTTTTGAGAACTGACGAGATATTCGACTACAAATCAGAAGACAAGTACTGCCCAGCGGTCCAATTTTCTACTGTTTGGCTGTGAGATATGGCCTTCAAAGGTGAGAGAAATAAGATAAAAAGGTTTTCGTCACATATATCTTCGTAATATCGCTCACGTTCGGTAACAGTGAAATATTCATGTTAAGCATGGAGTCATCGAGAAGAAAGGCTAACCGTTTCAGTAAGCTGTAAACCTGCATTAACTGGAGTACTTTAGACATATGTTGCGCATGCTGAGCTATCACCTACCCAGAATTAAGTTGTGAGAAAGCTGTTACCATACAAAGACATGACTACAGTGCATGAAGTCTGTGACTGTTGGTTTGAACTGTGTAAGGGTTGATGCATCGTTCAGGTAATGAGAGTCAATTGTTTGAGACAATTATATACACCATTACTCAAAATGTTTGAACTTTTCAACAATCTTTATCTATTTATTCTTACAAAAAGCAGTCTTCTGGATACATTGAGTGGCATTTTAAAGATTTTTGGGGTGCGTTTCTTTCCACATAGCTGCGAAATACCGCTCCATAAGTGGTATGGGTTGTTGCCTCATCTAACAATATAGAGCAAAGTGGCTGAGCTCGTCGACAACTTCACTTACTTGGGAAGTCAAATTAACTGTATTGAGTCAGTAGCCGACGAAATCTCTGCTTGGATATAAAAGGCTCATTTGATTGTTACCAGCTTACGCCATCTACGGCACTGGCATACTACCCAGCTGCTTATTAAAGGTCGATCGTACTGCCTTCTCCATTCTGCTCTGACTGTGAAACCTGTCCATGAACGCTGCAGGATATGAGGCTTCATGTGTTGGACCGGGGTTACGTTTGTAGAATAGATCGTGTCGTGGCTACCACTACTTCAGCAACGTAGAAGTTAAGCCTAGAGTGTTAGGTAAAATAGAGGAGTCAATTAAAAGGTCGTAAACTTTTATCAAGTTAAGTGGTTGGGGAATGTGTTACGCATCCATAGTCACAATCTAACGCATAGCTTAGTGTGAAGTGAAATAGTTATAGGCTGGAAAAAGGTTTAAAGTGACCAGACTAAAAAATGGCATCAATCCATGAAGTATCTGACTGTCAGTTTGAGCGGTGTAGACAAATGTGAAATCGACGGCTGAAGTCTGTATGACACTTGATAGTTGTAGCTACATAACTCAGAATCTACCTCAGTGGTGCAGATGCATTCATTCATCTTAGTCGTCATACTGAATTTCGTTGCTGTTTAATCACTTCTTCCTCATTTCTCTATCTTTCTTCTTTCCACCTTATTGTGCTGATCTGAGGTTTGGCAGCTTGTAGCGTAATAATTCCAGTTCCCATTTCGCTTTTGAGTTGCTGACTAACTCATTCACTTCTTTCCACTTTAGTGTCATTCATTTTGTATGTTGCTATGAAATTTGGCACTTTGAAATGATCCACCTTAGCGTTTTGTCCTATGTTGGATTGCTTGTCTATTTACATATTTGGTGTGATCTTAGGTCTATGATATTATGATGTGAGTTGCTTAATATCAAGTAGTTCCCTGCCCCAGACACCACGACTAGTGATTAAAATGAATTTATTAGCCAATAGGGTAATAAAAAACAAACTTAAGATGAATGATATTTATAGCATGTCTTATAAGATAATCAATAAGATGATATAAAATAATCTGCCTGCTGTAAAATCGGTGATAATAATGCAGTCAAATAAATTTAATCATCGTTAATAAGTGGCAATACAAAGTGCTATAAAATAATAATACTTACCATGTAGCAGATTTTATGCGAAATGACCGTATTGCCCAGCAATATCCCAACTAACTTTGAATAAACCTTGTAGCATGCAGTGATTAAACGTCAATAATAACATTGTTCCAATCACAATTGGTGATGATTATGTATGCACAACCCCACGAGATAAATTAGCCAGTGCATATTGCTTTGCTAAAGGATTGCTCACTCAGTGATTCCAGTACAAATTAACCTCGAACCAATTTGAGATAACCCACTCATCCTTTATGTAAGTCAGCACAAGATTTTCGTGTGGTCCACCTGTATCATTCTTAACTTTTATGCTTATTTATTACAGAACTACTAAGTTCCCCACCATAATTGAGAGAGTTTCTTTTACTAGAAACAGAACCTTGAAGCTCTCAAATATTAAGTTACACTGCAGGTCGTACGGTTTACCTTGCTTATTTTGTTTCACTTAATGTATCCATTAAGTTCGCCACTCTATTATACTGGCATCATGCATACATTTTTTAAAACTACCCTAAAACCGATTCATTTCAAATATTTATTCAAAGATGAATTATCTATGGAGATTAGCAGCATTGATTCAAAGAAGTTCCGAATAGGGGATCTTAAGAAAAAATTTGGGTCTTGGCTACCGAAAGAGTATAGAGTCTTAAAAGAAAAAGAAGCTGATAGTGTTGCTAAGTCTGAGCTTCAAAAACTTGTAGCTGACTCTTCTATCTTTGAACAACTTGAGAAGGATTGCAGGTATACTTCATTATTATTTATTATGCACAACATTCGATTTAGTTTAGACAATTTATTTTTTGATGGTGAATACACAACCTTAGAAGAAATTTTGAAAATCATACCGGCAAAAAAGAAAGATGAAAAACAACTCAAGACTCTGATCCACTTGCAGAAAGAAACTGAAGGTCTCAATTCTAGAACTTCACTTCTTACAGCCACACAAAGAATTCCGCGGCCTTTTGTTGACATGTCATATCGAAATTCTATAGATGAATCTTCAGAAGCTACAGAAGTTAACGAAGATATATTTGTCACAGTCCTAGTCTATAGACCGTTTTGTTTTTCCAGCATGGATCCATGTACACAGGTATAAATGTCACTTTTTAACAAGCTGAAAAGTTTCGACAAATGGTCATTACCCAAAGGTTGGTATTACTGTCCAAACAGAGTCTTACAGTTCTGCGAGATGCTATTCAGTGTCCACAAGATAAGGTTAGTGTCTCTTCCGTATTATCATTTTATAGGTTTGGCTAGGCGACTGTAGTGAAGCTCTTGACGATCCAGAGTTGCATGTGCCTGCAGAGAAACTATACACTTCATCATACTTTTTCATTGAAGGGACATTTTATGATGACCTACGAAATCCAAACAGTAAAAGTCTTAGCCAGTAAGTTATTTTGCATAATCTGTTCACTTTTAGAGAGCTTATGAAGTGGGCTAAAGGTAAGAAAGAGCTCGAGGTACATGAGTCTCTCAAATCATCACCAATGGAGTCCGTAAACCTTGAAGATCTATGTATTTGTGTTGGAAAACCATACTTCTTCGTGCATCAAGGGAATTGTGAACATATGATTATTTTTTCTGATGTACGGTGAGTTACTTTCTGAATAACATAACATAGTCATAAGTATCAATAGTTTAAAAATCCTTACTGTGGTTTTAAAATGGGTTGGAAGGATAAATAACTGCTAGCAGTAACTACCTAGCCACATTAATTCAGTTAGGAGTTTCCAACCGTCACAACTATATAGTTGCGACAAAATGAAAAGAAAATCCAGTTGCGATGTGACGTAACACGTTTCGCATTGAGTAAACTCAAATTGTTTTACAATCTAAATCATCAAATCAGGTTAATAACTGCATGATTGCTGCATCATCCATTTAGTGGTCTATCTGGCTGTCATGTGAAAGACAACTGTTCTCGGTTGGTCAACCAGGGTTTTTTTTTGTTTCAAAACAAACCAAAATTCATACGTAGGAAGCAGTTGACTATATTAAGGTTGGATTGTCTTATGTTAACTGACTGATATGAGATAGCCATTGAGTCTTCTTTTAACGCTGATCATTTTTGTAAGAAACTTATCATGAAACTAACCACTGAAGTGTGTGTTTCTGAAGTACACTATGGTGGTAATGCCTTCTAGTTTCGTAAACATCGGCAGGTGAGGTGGAGTTTAAATTCCTAACCTATTATTTGAAAGTCGACTGTCTAATCCATGCCTCTTTAAATAAATGGACCCGTAAATTATAGTCTCAATTTAGCTGTTAGTGATTCATTCATTGGGTGGAGTTTTATTACAACGAGTCAGATATGTCTGCAAATCTGAATGATAGAACGGATCAGCATTGAATCTAGGACAGAAAGTATGGATTAAGCCTTTGGCACGCTCGAAGAAGAATTACCGAGCAGAAAGAGAAACATACTTAGAAGTAAAGAATAAGAAAAAAGGAGATGAAAGCAACGTGACCGCCAGCATTTAATTTTTTTTCATGTTAGGCAATGAGTATGTAATATTGATTTCGAGTCATATGCCAAGTCTCCGTTAGTCTATTTCTTCTCTACGGATTATGTGTCTTCGTGTACCTCCTTCTCAGCATGCAACAGCTGACTTTACATGTTGAAACGAAAAGTAAGTAGAGTTCCCCCCCTCACAAAAACTCGTCGCCTGTAATGACATGAGTTGACAGGCGTATTGGAAGACCAGTTATTTGTACCAAAATTGACAGTCCGTATATTATATCCAAATAATAAAAGTCTGTGCGTGCCCACTAGCGAAATGGAGTCGATGACCAAGAAATTGCTTTTTGTTTGCGCTTAATATTGAGTACTCGAATGAAGAATGTGAATCAACTTTTATGTGTCATCTTTACAACCTGTTGAATTGTTGGTCCACCAACTGGCATTCATTGAAGAAGTATTTTTTCTGTCCTTATACCCATCAAGAACTATTCATACGAACGCCTTTTCATTTGTTGAATGTGGTAAAGTGGAAAGAAATGCTGCCAGTTGTATGTCCTTCTACGGTGTCAATGTCCAAAAGTTTTTTGTATATGCTATTCTTTTAGCCACAGAAACGATTAGTATACAGATCAAAATTAGAGGATAATTTGGTGATATTGAGGAGGATTTCGTACGATAGTTACTGCTTACTAGCTTAAATTACTAAAAGTGTTTTAGTGATATATGTAATAGAAAATATAGGCTAGTCTTGGACGGATAAGTTTTTAATTGTACTAGTTAGATGAAATATGCTAAAAGTTAAAAACTGCGGTGTTATCATGCTCTCAGAGGATACTAGATGGACTTGAGCCGGTGATCCAATGAGTGAAAAAACTGCAGCAACAGGAGCAGATGGCTGTTTTATTGAGTAACCGGCTAGACAGTTATCAGGACAGAACAACATCACTCATCCAGATGTCTGGTGCCATCTCCAGTCTGCTGTAAAAAAAAAGCTTTTAAGACTGTAGCTGACTGTCAGAAAGGGCCAATGGATCTCAGCAAACTGAATTTATGAGTGCATGCGGACTCACTCCTGAAGGCTTCCAGGATAACGAAGAACGGAAGAAGTCTACGCTATAACCCCGAGCAGTGGTGGGTAGCGAAGAGATGGAAGACTTACCAAGGAAATTTATTCAAAGAAGTCGTTGGTTAGTGAAACGACAGCATGGGTTCGCTATTCACTCGGAACAGGAGAGACGACTGGGACGATGGGGAGGGGGGGGACATTTTAGCTGGCTTCTAGCTGGTATTCCCTTACCAACTATCCCGTCGTATCCTAAATGGAACATTTTTATATTGTTTCCAACACTTGCAGAGCTCGTAAAGCTGTAAGTAAACTGAGACGTGGAAAGATAACAGGTTTAGACGGACTATTACCAGAGGTATTTAAGCACGGTTATCGATGATCGCTGGTCAAGTTAACTAAAGTATTAGCCAACTTATGAGAATCAAATATGATCCCCCTGTGACTAATCTTATCCATTAATTCTCCCAGTGGTCAAGAATGGTGAGAAATCCTCCTGTGAATAGCCACAGGAGAATCGACCTGAAAAATACAGTGTCTAAGATTTTAGTTCCTATTATATTACCATTAGACATCTCAGTGGAACTCGGGAACAGCATACGCCAGAAAACTAGGGAAGCTTCATACCTGGGTGTATTGATCAAATATTCACACCACCACGTCCTAGAACACAGGCACACTTACTGAAACCCGATTACGTTGATCAAAAGGCCATATGGAAGTGTCTCTCACCAAAAGGGGTTTCGGGTGAGTAGATCGCTATGTTGAAGGCTCTGTACTCGAACACCCACAGGGATGTTAGAGCCTGTGTGTATTGAATGGTATCCGCTAAGGATGTGCAATCCCATTCCTACTCAACTTTATCACGGACTTACTTATGGAGGAAGGTCTCTCTCTCGTCATGTAACTTTACAGGGATTGATGTTATCACAGAAGTATCCTTGGTAGATCTAGAGAACGCAGATCACCATAGTGTTGTTAGGTGAAGACATCGACAAAATGCAATCTTCTAGACACCTTGTGTGGTAATTTTAGAATATTGGGGCTGCATTTCTCATCACCCAAATGCAAATTACTGCTGTATAACTGGTCTTCAGTTATGCCTTGTCTAACAATTGGGAGTGAACTAGTTGAGTGCGTCAAACACTTCACTTACGTGGGAAGTCGGATCAGCTCTGATGGGTCAGTAGCCGACAAGATCTCTGCACGGATACAAAAGGCTCGCTTGGCTTTCGCCAATTGTCGCCGTCGTGATATCCGATTGTCTATTAAGGTTCGTGTGCTGCACTGCAGTTCGCTTTGCTCTACTGTATGGCTGTAAAACGTGGCCATTAAAGTTGCAGGACATGAGGCTTCACGTACTTGACCACCGTTGCCTTCGTAGCATAGACCGTGCTGTCACTAAGTCAGTGGTGTAGAAGTCAGGCGTACAGTTTTAGGTGGAAGAGGGAAGTCAGTTGACGCAGTTGTCAACCTTCATCGTCTCAGGTGGCTGAGACATGTGTTACGCATACCTGATCACTGTCCGCCCCGTTGCGCACTGTTAGGTGAAGTAGGTTAGGCTGGCAAAGGGTTAGAGGTGTTCTCACCAAAAGATTACATCAGTCCATGAAGTATGTGAGCCATGTAGAGAGATAATTGACTTTCTGGTCGGGGAAGCGTGACAAGAGAAACCACTGGTTAGGAACTGTAAGTGACATGGCTCAAAATCGATCTCAATGGTGCATATCCATCCAAACATCTTCGTACTGAAAAATAAGTAGGCTTTCATGCTTGCTTTCTCTTTCATCTTAGTTCATTCTCGCTTGATGTGGCAACTTGGACCACTGTGCAGTAATGACAAGTCCTATGTTGATTTTGTCTGTCTGCCTGATCCAATGAGTCAAACTCGTATGCTTAGATTACAGGCCCAAATCCTATCTATAAAAACGGGAAGCGAATCCGTTTTTGATATCGGTTAAGCAACGAAAGTCTGTCCATCTAATGACCTTAGAGACAAGTTAAACACCTATTGTGGTCTATTTTTACAATAAGTTTTACAAACAGTGAATAAAGGCATCTTTTTAGAAATGCATGACCAAAATATATCGCCGACTTGACACCAGTATAACAACTGATACGACAGTGCTATCTCTAACGAATGGCCTAGGTCTGTATAAAAAAGAACAATGGGGTACAAGGGTGCACTAAATAAAATGTTATAATGGCAATAGCACAAGTAATCTGAAGAGGAACGATAATCCTAAAAAGTACATTCTGAAAGATTTCATTACTCCCTATTTGCATTGCTGCTTAAGGTAAATGCAAAAAACTATGGCGGACTCACCAACATTTTTAACCTTGAGTTGTATTTAACATCCCAAGTGACCTCTAGGTCTGTATGCTTCAACATAAACGAAGTCAACATAAATACTTGTTCATTCGGTATGTTGAGATCTCAAACAGAAAAACTGACTGTTTCAGTGTGCTTTATGAGTCTAATAACCGCATTAAATACCTGCCAATGAGTGAAAAATGGATACGTAACATGATTAAGACATCCAGCTAAGACAACACACCACCACTTAAGACTTCTAACCTGTGGCTCTTTGCGGTCTAGGCACTTGAATTCCAACCACGGGGTGGTCTGAGTTCCAACCGCAATCCGTCTACCTAGGTCTGGGAAACCACGTAGTATCACTAGCGTTCACGCAATATGTGGTTTTTGAGATTTTGATCCTAATCTTGCCATGAAACCCTTGCCATCGCTTTTTACTGAACTGTGGAGCTCTGAATCGCTTTGAGAAAAGCAGTGTATAGAATAAAACTGGCGTTTTTTCTATGAACTTGAATTCTTTTTCTATGTTTCTGAATGAAGCAAGGTGATTACATCCCATTTTAGGCTAAGGAGATGTGTTTACATATGATGCATCATTCATGTATTAGTGCAGGACACAGGGATTAATGATAATGGTCTTTGTTTTTGAGCTATATACATATGTCAAAAGTCTTTCGTTTATATTTTCTTAGCCTAATTGATCGAGATTCATGTCAGTCTGAGTCTGCATTCCCAATGCTAACTGGTCGATGTAATCTGCGCGTGCTACACTGTTTCGTTTGCAAACGTTTGGCATGTCGTTGGATAGTTGCAGAATGTGGAACTATTTTATCTGTAGATCCCTGTCCTATATGCGATGTATGCATCCGACTACTGCTTTACACTGCGGACGGAAAAAAGATTCATCCAGGTTTCAAAGTTTTCATGTACTGTGGAGAAGAGATTGTCATGTGAAACTCAGTGTAAATAAATACTCTTTGAAAAAATTGCGCTTTTGAATGAGACTATCGAATTAGTTAATTACATATTTTAAAACACGTTTTTTCTGTAGAAAAAGTTTCACAATTCATAGTCAACCAATTCCCGTTTCTTTCAGATATTATAAATTTTATGGGCTTTCCCCAGGATGACAAAAGTAATATGCCGACAAACAACGCAATTTCATCAATAGGTGACTCCAATGCAGATCAAGTTGCAGCTACTACTTTTGGTGTTCTAGCCGAAATATCCAGCATCCTAAACACAGGTAAACGTAAATTTGGTTTCTCAACGACATATTCATAACGTAACTAGTAGGATTGACTGCAGTGAAAAAGTTTTCAATGAATCACTAGTATAATTTCTAGTTTATCCATCCAAATCAACATAGGATCAGGCATTACTGCGTAACGGTCCGAGTTGCCACAGCTCATATCAGTACATCAAGTAAAAGGCAGTGAAGGTGAAGAAAAGAAAATTCAATCACAAGAAATAAAGAGTACTAAAAGACAGAAATGAAGAATGAGAATATGGTGAAATTTGGTATAATGTTAAGATGAGGACGATATGTGTATACATCTGCGCCACTGACATCATTTCTGAGCCATAGTCTATAACTTCGCATGATGAACATCACTTCCAAATGCAAGAGTAAATGGCGTGGCAAGTAGGAAACGCGGAATAACGGACTGCGTAGGATTAGAATGAATGCAACGAAAGCATGTCTTTCGTATCCTAAACAACGGGTAACATAAATTACTATGGTTACACCGATGCTCGGATAAAACCATGTACTTAACTCTATTGACGCTCTTATGGCATACAAAGTTGTTTTAAAGATATTATTAATCAAAAACGTGGTCTTGTTATCATCACAAATAAGGAAAATAATTTGTCGGCACACAGAGAGAGCAAGCTGCGAGATACCAGAGTAATAAGAATTGATTCGATAGGATCACTAATCGCATCGGATAAAACTCAGACAGCTAAACACTACACTAATCAAACATGAGTGCATAGGATACATTTGCTGAGCTGAACGTGGTGATGGTAGGTGCTCAGCTATCAAAGTTTAACAGCAGACGCGGGATATCCACGAGGCTGTGTAAGCTGAAACGGCGATCTAAAAGGCATCTGTACCCCCTGGGATCCTGCAGAAACTTCGTAAAACAAAACCACGCTACCATAATTATTGACCATATTTTTTTTCGTAAAAAACCACCTTTACATAAACTGATTTTGCTTATAATCCATACAGAAAATTTAATCTCCATTCTAGGTTTGGATAATGAAGAATTATTGATGTGCATCAAGCTTATTGAGAATGGTGTGAACCCAACCACTTTGGCTTTACTTGTAAACAATGTGAAACAACAATGTGAACATATTTCAGAGCTTAAAAGATAAATACGATTTCATTTTGTATAAAGCATATTCAAAAAGCTCATTTAAATAAACATTGCTAATTGTTTCAATGATTGGTTGTGAAAAAGTACACAGACTTGAGAATAAGAACACTTTGTCCATATTTATTAACAAGAATTAGATCACAGTTAAGGTGGTGTAAACAACGTGATTACCAGTAGTCCAATGTAAGAAACCAAAAATTCATACGATACATAAGTAGGATTGAAGTCAAGTAAATAATAGAGCAAGTATTTTAGAAAACCATTGTCAACCTATAGCATCTGCTATTATTCGACTGACAGTAGGATCAGATGAACGTACAGTAATTTGGAAGGTTATACCTTGTTCATTTGAATGCAAAGATGCGTCAGACAATACTTTGGCTAGTTTACATAGTGCCAAAACTTCAAATCCACCACGAAATACACCAGATAAAAGTAGTTGATGTGATGACTTTCCTTCTTGAGGCATATGGTCAGTTTGATCACAAGGCTGAAGTCCAAGGTGTTCGATAATTTGCTTCATCGTTTCTGGACATATGAAACAAGCATATTCGGGATTTAATGATATAAACCAAAGTAAGAATATAAACTTAAATTATGTTCACTAATTAATACATTGGGAAGTATATAATAACTGTACCAACTTTTGTAGCTTACAGAGTAGTGGTACCCAAAGCGAATTCTCTGCCTATGTTTTGTCAGTTCACTGAGTAAAACAAACATCTCGTCTTAAACACTATTTAACAGTCTGCTAAATATAGTTTTAAAGTGTTTCATGCAGGCAAACACGGACCATTTTGTCACAGGATGTACTCCTCTCGCCGAGAAATTCACCAATGATCGCAAAGACATTCAATTAACATCATTAAACCAGCGATATCTTAGATTCTTTGAAAATAACTACTTTCACTATAGCAACATGTTGTAGACTAAACTGTATCGCTGAACTATATTACCCTCATGTGTCGGTTAAATACTCAGTAACGCATTTTTCTTACCCACACACAATAGAACAATGATATTCAATAGTTGCTTAGGCAAATAACATACTAATAGCACGTAATCAAAAATGTCAATCATACCTTTAATGGTCTTATGCTTCACTAACATATATGTTTCTTCCACTTCAGTCTCGGGACTGAGTTCTTGCCAAGCCATAGTAAAGTTCTGCTTGGAGACACGTTGTACATGGTCTGAAATTCCAAGGACTAGGTCTTCCAGCTATAATAATAGTTTTATTTGTAAATTGTGTTTAGAGCTGGGAATTACAAAACTTTAAACAAATGAAATGTTCAAAAGGTACATTACTGTAGTGAACGGAATACGAGGAGAAAGGTGAAATTGATGTACAATATTCAGTGCTACCAGCACAATCCGATTCAGTTTTTTCCGCCTTACTAACCTACCGTAGCAATAAGTTAGTGGATGTTTTTCACGTGAAGATAATTTTTCTAAGAGTGGACAAAACCCGGTCTTCTTGAAATATTGTCACATAGATATACGTTCATCGCATCTCCCAAAGAAGTACTTATTTAAATTCATATGGTTGTTATGTTTCTATAAGTGTGAAAGCTGCTGTTCGGTAGTTATCACTAGGTTTTCGTATATGGGAGTCTTAACTAAGAGGGTTGGGAAACCCTGTCTTAGATTAATGATGTACACAGGATCCAGGTGTAAGAAAAGAAAGGCGTAGGAACCAACCTTGGTCAAAGGTAACCATGGGAGTTCAGCTCCTAAAAGTTCTTCACTGTCTTGTGAATTAGGGTTGGGAAGTGGTTCTTTAAGACAAGCACCTGCTATAGCCTGGACAACAAAGTAGTGTATCAGCACTTATAAAATTTATAACAAATTGCAGTGGAGAATTCAAAGCACATTCTAAACTAGCTGGTTAACAATCACACTTGCAATAATTCAAACATTTTACATCAACAGATATTTTACAAATTAGAGAGAGACTATAACTCTGGTACTACGATAGAGTATAACTACATAGAAAATTAATTTATTTGATATGAAATCACACTTATTGTTGTAATTATTTGTTTGCGGGCTGTATTACACTCGAATTATTTCTTATTCTAAATTTCACTTTAGGGATTATCTTCTGAAGCTTTTTACAGATTTTCAATTAGCGTTTCACTGCTTAACAAAATTATTAGGCTAATCTAGTGGGCAGGTAGCTGATATTGCAACTATGAACACCTGCCCATCCTATGGAATGTATAGACAAGCATCGTTGTAATTACAAAACACCGTGAAAATGGCGATATATGAGCCGTTAGCTAGTTTCATAAAAAATTTCGCGAATAGAAATAGGTTTTCCCACGAACTCTTTCTGAAACTTTGAACCTGCCAGCCAATTCTAGCCAGTAGAAAGCTCATACTATGCTTACGCAGTAAATGAAAGGTTCGGTGGTCACAACATAAGAAAAAAGCGTCAACTGCATCGCGACACAGGTAAAAGTTGTCCCAGCTCATATGAAACACTGTCAGCAAGAAGCCTATTGTTCACTTAGAATGAAGTCTATACGGTCACAAAGAAATTACCAGTCTGACTATCGGAGATAACTGTGGCTTGGCAGACTCGTACTGCTAATACTGAGTGGTGAGAGTGAAATGAAAATCTGGGTCGCAGCAGTATTCAAACCAGCGATCTCCGGGTTACCAACCAGGTCCCAACTGAGCAGTTGGGTCTCGTATCTCAGTTGGTAGAATATTTGGGCAGTAACCGGAAGCCAAAGGTTTGAATCCTGCCGTGGCCCAGATTTTTATTTCATCTTCAATCATCGCCCAGTATCAATGAAACGAAGAAACTAGAAAATCCCCTATCACGTTGGAAACATCAATTTTCACTATGCATCGCTGACTACGTAAAACGATAGGGAGAGTTGATCACATGTTCATCCCAACCAGATGTTTTAACATAATCACACCAATTGCTAGTCAATGACTGCTGTATTTCTCAACATTAAAAATGTCTAAAATCTGCTTCGCTATTGTGTCATTGAACAGTGTCCCTGAGAAGCTTATCAATATACTGAATACTACACGAGCACTCTAAACTGAATGACAACACACAACCAACTTTTCCAACCCGTGGGAACCAGAAGTGGGTTGTAGTAGAGTCGTCTGATGTTGCCATTCTTTCTTAACCTTGCTATCGAAACACTCTCCAGACTGCTTCTGAAGAAGGTAGTGTGGATCTACCAGGAAAAAGAATTTTTCGACGCTGGAGGGTAACACATACTCTAATCAAATCGCATTATATAAATGGCAATCAGTATTCACCATTATGGTGTGCTATGCACTTTCAAAGTGCAAAATGTTATTACAAGATTGGTAAAAGTCTATGCTACAACTCCCCTTCGGTGCATAGATGCTAGAAAACTTCGAAAAGTTCACGTATTTAAATGCTGATGTACTCAATGATTTCATCTCGAAACGCTGGCTAGTTATAGCTGCTTGCACATGCTGTCTTTGCATCTCTTAGAGAGTTTACACACTGACCAATTAACGAAAAGCGCATAATTTTCACACAATAATAAATAAGTGGTCACTTAGAAAGAAAAGACAGGTAAATAAAATAAAACTTTCCTTAAAGCCTAGGAAGTAAATTCAGTTTCTGTTTAAAGCCAAATACAAAAAAGAGGGGTCGAACAACTTACTTGATATTCATCTGACAACCCAGGATCCGAAGGATCAGAGTCAACATCTTTAATACTGAACTTCAATGTGTTCATAAATGTTGCAGAATGACATTCAAGGCTTTCCGGGAGTTCAACCAAGATATAAGTTACACCAGGAGAATTATATTTCAAGGTTTTACACGGTACTGTGCATATGATATTGAAGGTTGAATCATCCGGTTCACAAGACACGTAAACATCTTCTAGGATCTGATCTGTCATCGTATTAGTGCAATCGAACTGGAATTTTTAAAAAAATTGAAGGACCAATACATACACAGATTTTCATATTTGAAAATTTAGTGCTGAATAGTTGGATAAATCATCACCAATTTCATATGAAATCAATCAAAGACGCTTAGCTGAAACACACCCACAGATTACAAGCTGGTGTTCATCATGGAATGATATGAGTTGGGGAACCTCTTGAAAACTTGAGAGCACTAGTTCCATAGTTGTCCGAATGATCTTATAGTTCGTGATGAATAAGCAAACTGAAAAACAATGAAGTCCTCATAAACCTGTAAAATTGATTTACTGTCCAGCGCTTATTGACTTGCTTCGAGATGAGCGATTTTCAGACGTCCTAATGAGAAATCGTGATCAGTGGGGCAAACGAGGTCGAACGTGAGGAAAAGTAGTTCCGCTATATCGTTAACTGACAGAAGTAGAAAAATTCGGACTACTAGGTTGTCATTCAATGGCTTAATGGTAACGTGCTCGCCGTGGAACCTAAGTTCGACTCATGGCGGGGTCACGGGTGTGGACTACAGACGAGTCTCATGTCTGGAAGAAACAGTTGCACAGTGCTCCCAGGTTTTCAATGTTTCTCCAAAGCTATTGCATTTATTTTTGAAACAATTGTATCAACGTTAGGATGAAAAAGCCTAATTATTAAGAAATCTGTATATGATGGTCAACGTTTCTTTATATTCAATAAGTGCAAAGTATGGCCATCACATGTAAATAATAATGATGATAAGGAACAGTTGGATTCACGTATTTATCCGTATGATAGTAAAACAACTAGCTAGTTGCCTGCTTGAATTCAAATGTCTGCTAGTTATAATGTTAATCAGTTGGATCAGAGGTACACCACTTACCCAACTGATGGCTTCCGAAGCACTACGCAACATAACATAGTCCAGTCTGACATTTAGAAGGGTTTAGCTTAAGACCATTTGACGAAGATCACTAGTCAGTTCTAGATAAGAAACCATTCATTTAGGAGCAATCTGAGAGGCAACTGGTAAAGAAACCGTCAGACTATTAGCATACTTAGTGAAATTAGTTTCAATATGATGAAGTCATCCAAAAAGAAGAAAAACAGAAACGGATATAGTATTGCATCTTGATGCACATCAACTTCAAGCAAGCAAAGTGGAGCGTTTCCCTTTATAAACAGTATACTATTTCCTTTTACAAAAGTTAAGATGTAGTCAGTTTATAACCGAGGGTTCATTATAACCAATGGCTGGCTTATTTAAGAAAAGTGATCCGGGAACAGAGTCACAGGTAGATGAACACACTTCAGCACCTTTGTCTAAACTAGAAACAATATTGTGATACAAGGACAGATACAGTATCCAAAGTACCTCTCCTAGGTTTACAACTAAATTGTTTCGGACCTCTGAAAGCCTTCAACGAAGGTTCATGCACAAGTAGAAGTAATTTCTCCATTGTTTTCAAAAACGGAGATGTTGCAACAATAAGCCGAAACTTTACATCTAACTGAGATGACTTCAGTATAGGAACAATTGTAATCTTCTAAACAGCATGTATCATATTTTTAGAAAACGATACATTAAAAATATCTATGAGCACGACATAAGACATCTGCACATTTCCTAAGTATAATAACTTGCAATACCATCACGATTTAGATTTAAGGATGGATTCAAGGATTTGAGATATTTGTAAAACGTTATTTTTATTAAAACCAAGAAAACAACTATCCTTTGACTACAAACACCATGAAGGATGAGATCAACACTTTTCTTCGTTGCAACCACGTTTTGTCATTTCCTACTATATATATATATATATATATATATATATATATATATATATATATATATATGCTGGTGCTTTCGGACCAAGGCCTTTCCAGTGTGTACGTTACCAGTGCGCAGTACTTGCTTACACTGGAGTTCAAGAATTGAGATGATCCAACTCTAGTTATTCACCGAGTGAAATCAGAAAACTGGCATTTAATTGAATTCATAGTGTCTCTAAGTGAAGACATTAATTAGTAAAAGGTGACGTTATATGTGGAAAAGCACAATGGCCCTGAAAGAAAAGGGGTGATTATTACTTTAGAAGAGACAGGAGTTAATAAGAACAGTAGCAGGTTATGTAAAATATGATCCATGTGAGATAAAAGGGTTCTAACGAAAAGAACTCAAAAAGTATGATAAGTATGAAAAAATAAGGGATATGGCCATGCTTAACAGATTTACCAATATGTTAATTACTATTTGGAATCAATCACTGGTATGTTCTAGATTTACTTATATAAGTGCAGTTAGTTTTTATATGCAGTTGTGCATCTAGACACTTCCAGAGAGTCTATGCAAGTGTTGAAATCGTCCCTTTGAATTCTTCAACTTGCAGTGTTTCTACAAAATCTACTTGTGGTTAGTTAATACTGACCCAGAGTGGATAAACTTACTAAATCTGTGAATAGTAGTAAACATTTGCAACTCCACCTGGTTAGTGGTACTGCTGAAGACACCTCGTACGAGGATTATAACGTTTGTCAACAAAAACTAAAGACTACAGAACAACACAATCTGACCTAAAAATATTCTGACATACAGCTTTGAAATTATTTCTCAACCTGTTGATCATGCTCTACTATAGTCAGTCGATATCAACGTGAAACTTGGCATTGCTGTGTAGCGGTCCGTCTTGCCACCATTCACAGCAGCCCATCAAAGTAAAAAGTAACAAAACGAAAGACAAGGAGATGGAAGTAGCATAATCAAAATGAAATCTAAAGCTATAAGCCGAAAAGAAGAGCAGATAAGGCATATAACGAAATGTGCTATACCCGTTAGGATAAAGATATTCTCAGTTATTTATGACCTGACAAAACACTCACCTGCAGGATCAAATGCTTTGAGAATAAATGTTTTATACATGTCACTACATATTCGGTGTCTGACTCAGTTAGTTCAATTGGAGCAGAGGATTTAAATATAGGACCAAGGCCAGAAAATTCAGGGACAGCAGCCAACTGTTCAGCATAGGAGTCTTGAATAAGCTTTCCCTGTACTTGAGGAATGTTAGATGCATTGCGGTCATCACGACTTTTCACGATAGGTTTCGCTAAAATTGAGAAAGAAATAACCCAAAAATCACTTCTTAGCTGACAAAGAAAAGATTTGTGAACACTAGTAATGAAAAGATAAAAGTGGAATACTATTGATGCGTTTCAGTAACACAAACGACTAATTGATTTTAAGTTGGAATTGATCATCGACTGACATCAGTTGGAGGAACACTGGAAACCTGGGGCACTGAACAGCTGTCTCATCGTAGTAAGCGACTCCCCAGCAGTACACACCCACGACCTCCCCGGGATCGAACCCAGGACCTTCGGGTCCCGTGGGTCGGCCACAAGTCGAACATGAAGACAGTTACTCAACGATGACATTGGATGTAGGTCGCGCTATATCGTGAACTGACAGAAGTTGAAAATATGGAGCACTGGATTCCGATCCAGTAGCTCAATGATAACGATGTGGCCGCGGAACCTGAAGGTCCTGAAGTCCGATCCCTGGCGGGGCGGGGCGGGGCGTGAAGGAGTCATGGGTGTGCACGGTTAAAGAGTTCCATACTAGGACGAAACAGCCTTCCAGTACTCCCAGATTTCCAGTGTTCCTTCAACTGATGCCAGTCCATGATGAATTTAAACCTAAAATCAATCAATAAGTCCCCACAAGCTGTGCACTAATCGATACCAGCTCAGATATATTCAATATGAAAGTGTACACAGAGATTTCTTTCTATTTAAACGTTTTATAAAAATTGTTAGGTCAAAAAATTGAGATCCATGGTAAGACTAGTGACTGAACTGTTGGTAGTTGAAAAGACTACCGAAATTCACCTATGCTATTGTTGTTACACTTCATACTGAATGATATTCTAGCCATGTATGATCAATAAATAACATGTAACCAATTAATAGTTTATAGCTGTTCCAGAAAAACTACTAATCTAGCCATTGATACTATTTACTGACGTAGTTCTGCTCACCTTTGATCTTTGCACCTTCCGATTCCAGACCAGAGTTACGCAAATCTACAGTAGGCTGAACGACAGCAGCAATCGGAACTGTAGCCAATGAAAAACGACTATTGGCAACTGCTTGAGAGTCATGCATATAATCCAATAGGGCACGCTCCAAACCGGATGGACTCAAATGCATTTCTTCACTCAAAAGATAAGCAGATTTCAATGCTAACTGGTTAGTTGATAAAATGTAATGATAGAAGGCAGCACGGTCACGAACTTCATCATCTTCATCAATCATAATTCTAAAAAGTTATAAAAAAAAGAGAGAGGGTATTACTAAGTATAAGGCTTCTTGGTAAAAGTCGGAAAGGCAAACATGAAACAGTATATTTAGGCTGTAAATACCAGGAACTAGTTAAAATATACGGTAAAGGTATAATTCACACAACATCCTAGGCCAGTGTAGATGGAGTGAGGTCTGAACTGCAAACCTGTTCGTCGAAAGTTAAGTGCTTAAATCAATGAACTACGTTCACCCCATCAATTAAAATTAGATTAGTATCCAATCTCATAGAAGACAGAAAATGACAAAAGTGTGTTAGTCGGAAGTATTATCGAGTATGTTGTGAAACAATGTGTGGACAACCAAATATTACTCACTTCTTTCAAGTTGATTTCATGTGAAATAATGCATTAATGCATACTTCTTGATTACTGGTGGTACCCATTTTCGATGTTCGTAAGTCGTATTTCCGTGAATTAAACTACAATAATTCATTTATGATCATATCAAAATCATCTTAATGCAAAATGTGATGTCACCACGCCAAGAACAACAAAATCAAACTGTCCACTAGTGTTAACCGCAAGATTTTATGATAACTTCACTAGCAACAGGAATGGTGATTATACCTTAATAATACTTAGCCCACTTCAGAATTAAGAAAGTCAATTACCACAAGTATTGGTAGCTTAAAAGTGAAAGCTATGTGTTTGTATAACAGCATTTCCAGCTGACGCTAGTTGCCTAAAAATGTTTGTATCGCCTAGCTACTATCTTTGACAAACAATTTCATCTACTAGACTGTATTTTCCTTATCGTAAAATGGGAAAGTAATGATTTAAGCTTTTTGAGTAATCTTTAGGCATATTAAGAAGCCTTTCGTTACTGGTCTTGTGAAATCCTCCTAATAGTGGAACTCTATTTCACAGGTAAAAGAATACACATCAATCTCCTTTCTATTTTCGTTCATGATTGCTTCAGTTCACTGTAACGAAGCAGAAAGTGGTCAAAATAACCAGCATAATTTCTGTACTTTTCTTATTTATTAGTGATAGTCAACAAAGAGAACAAAGCTTAAGCCAGTTCTCGAGTTTTACGTGAATCTAACATCTTTTTCAGAAAGAAGCAAAATACAGAGCTATCATGTAACACATTTTTGATATTCGATCCCAATGCTTTACAATCATTTTGATTAGTTTCTTTACTTGTTTAACTAACTGAAGAGAAATGTATCATATATGTAGTCTAAAAATGTCCATATGACATTTAACCATAAAACAGTAGCATTTAAGGTGAACAGAAAATTCTTAATTATAATTCTTGACTATAATAACTCATGAAAACAGAGAACTATACAAGCATTCTGAAACACAAGTTTAAGCATACCGTTTAAGAAGCACCAAAATACTAGGAAGCAATTCATCATTGTGTGCAGCGAACCTCGCAAGTGCTGTTGTAGCTGTACACTTAATAGGTGCTGATTCAAGCATAACTCTATTGTAAATATAACGAGTGAACTGACGTGGTCGTTTAAGAAAGGGTCCTTCACGTCCCAAAAGATGAAGTATACGTTGGGTTAGTTTAATATGTTCACAGTCTTCAATGAATTCACACAACTGTAACAGACCTGAAATAATTTTTTTAAACAAGCAATAGAAAGTGTGAGTTTTGCTAAAATCAAAGAAAAATGAACTATCCTTTTAGCAGTAAACAAATATCTTCCTGTTAGCATATGAAATAGGAGAAAGACATTGGCTACACAAGCGGATATGACTACACACAAAGAACAACCATGATTTAACTTTCAATTTCGATGACTAAATGTCATATGAAAAGTTATCTTAGTTCAAAATACTGCTCCCACGATGAAACAATAACCTTCTAAGAACAAGACAAGAATTAATAGTATGTGAAACTTACGCTACATATAACTTTGAAAAGAGATACTCTTCAAAAAGTCTCATTAGTAAGAATAAAAATAATAATTCACTAGAGATTTATGTAATTATTAATTTACATCAACATCAAAATAAATGTCTAGATCCAATTCGAAAAATCCATACGACGATGACAAAGCACCGAGAAATTAATCTGCAAGCAAACCCACACTTCATCTTCTAATCAGCTTAAAAAATATTAAAGTAAGAAGTAGTGCAGATTTCACTAAATAGCACACTAAAAGATCCTCTGAATGCACAAAAGAGACAGACAGACGATTATGTAGTGGAGAGGATCGGTTCAATTTGGCATACCACTGCATCGTGTAAAGAACTAATACGTAGCAAAATACTGACGAAGTAGATAAAAATGTATGCGAGGATAAATCATTCGTTCGATGTAGGTTAGGGAACATTCTGAAACCTTACGGGACACCATAAAGCGAATACATATGCGCCACCGTGACCGACTTTCAACCATGTCGTCAAGCATCGATCCCTGTTATCTCGAAGAGCCCAATTAATGCATTGTTTAGGCCAACAGTCAGGGACTTAATGCACTGGCACCAGATCTTAATTTGGTCACTTTGGGCCTTCTTCCAACCCAATCCTACTTCAGTTAACATCGCGCTGGGAGATAGGCGGTGGCTCGGCATGCACAAGTCACCTCGGTGCTGGTTCCAAACTTCATCGACTGACTTGTCTAATACCCTTTACCTAAACCTCGTACTTGCTTACATGGTGACTACACGTACGTGAGCAACGGTGTGTGTGGTCAGAAACCTGTAGTCTTTTCACATCTACTTTCAACGGCCAAGTCTTGTAGTTGTATAGACAGACTGATAGTCGTAGGATAAAACACAGAGAAGTGTTACACAATACCCTCGTCCTTTGGTAGGCAGTCGGATATCTTGCTGTCTCTAGAGATGGCGGAAGTTGGCAAATGATAAAAGATTTTTTGTGCTTCAGATGAAGTTTCGGCAGCAATCAAATTGCAAGGGTGATGCAACCTCCCAAGAAGGTGAAATGGTTAATGCACTCCATCACTGAGAGCCGGTGTGGAATCAATTCAATTGTTTCTACAGTCAGTAAAAGTGAATTGTGTAAGCTATATCTGCGCTGCAGTAAACGTTTATTCCAAACCTTGGGGAACGTTTGTTAATAATGTTAATAATCCCTTTGATATGATTATGAGCAATAATGTATGTCCTAAACGTCACCCAGTAAATAATTCTGTGTCACTAAGTGTTGTTTATCAAATAAACAAATTTAACTTGGGTTCCACTGTCACGTAAACTCTAATCTCAACAATTACGTTTCCCTACGTGACTCATACTGACAGCCAGGGACTTCCTTGACAGATTTGGGGTTTCAGTCTGGTCACCCGTAGCTTTTTTAAAACCTAACTTTACTTCGCGTAACATAGTATGTCAACGGTAGATAATGAAAAGACATACATAAAATGTACCTCGGTGGATGAAGCATTTCTTTTACCTAAGACTTTACTCGTAACCATCGCATTACTAACGGGTTGTTATGTAGGTAGCTGTAGTCAAAATCTGAAGCCTTTATATGTCTTTCACCTACCTTTGATGACTAACTCATGGTCACATAGTAACACAAAGAGAATTATTGGGTAGAACACTCGATCCCAAGGAGGCAACCAGATATTTCCACTACTAAAGATGGTGTAAGACGGCAAAAGCCAACTGAACCTTATACATCCGCAAAGAGATTTGGTCAACTACCAACCGACCAGTGTTGCGCTAACTTTCCAAGTATGTAACCATCAACGCGTCCACTTCCTACTGTCGAACGAGTTCTGAGGCATCATCCTATATTTATTTGATAGATGCGAAGCGCACAACACACACACACTCAGGTATCTTTGCACTAAGCATCTGGAAAATTCTGATGTTTTGTTACTGTTTACACCTAACACGACTAAGTCACCTGTGCACTCTAGGTCAGCCGCGTACCCTCCTGAAAAGAAGGATTTGTGTAGGGTTATGTCTACTAGATGTGATGTGAATGTTGTTGAAGTAAACATACCAAGGTACCGTGTCAAAAAAGAGTGTGGAAGTAGAATGAGATAGATATTTCCAATTTTAAAGAGTTATTTTAAGGATATAGCTGTTGACTATGACATTTAAATATTTTATCTCACGCTCCACAAAACCGTATGTTGATTTGTCTTTGCCACATATAAATTTTCCAAACAAAGTTCCTCACCTCTAATTGGAATAAATCATCCACCTACCGTGAAATACTAAAAAAATAACTACCCATTAAAACTACTAAATGATGAATCCAATCCTCAATATGAACACATTACAACACATCTTATAAACACCCTGATTCCCTCAGTTATACATAAGAATGATTAGCATTTGAGAGAAGTTTAACGAAAGGCTAAAATAAACTTACCTATGCTTTTAGCCTCTGGAATTTGCTTAATGATTGACTCAATAGCAACTACAACTGCTTTTTTAAACGTGTAACCGGCTGAATCACGGAGGAGTCCAGATAGGAAATTTAACAACACAGTATATTTTTTAGGGTACTTTGTCGCTAGTGAACGAATAGAATCTAAAACCACAATTTTAAATTCATCACTTATTTCACTCATGAAAGGAGATACATGTTTGAGAAGACGTTCAACATTTGACTCATTACCAGTCTAAAAGAAAGAAAACAAACATTTCAAACAACAATTTAAAATTAAAACTAGTGTGTCATATAACTGCGTTTTTAGAGCTTCACGTAAGGTGGCCAGTATGTAATAAGTTCTCACCAAACCACTTTGTGTTGTATAACTCCTTGCTTCATAAAACGCATAAAATCTTCTTAATGGTTTTCGGAAACGCATTTCTTCCTACTAATCTTGTCTGTTATATGAATGACATGAATCTCGTCCGATCACAATACCTATAGTTTGCTTACGAGTGAGTTAAAATCATGTCTATAACCTTAAAGGAAAGCATCCAACGTTTACGCTAAATGTTAAATGTGATACCATTATTCAACAATTAAAATCAGACTGCACTTTGAATCACTTCAAAAAAAGATTTAGTACACTGAGAACAGAATTTTAGGATAGTCTTGTAATCCAGTGGATTTTAGAAATTCCACATATTCGACAGGAAACTAAACTAATTCCTATGGACTAGCATGTTTCGTAACAATAAGATAAACGTGCAATTTGATAATATTCTTGGTATAGGCGACATTGACATTTCACTAGCATAAGAGAACTTAAGCACTGTTACAGTGTACAACTTCATGCTAATTTACTTGTTGAATTTTCCACAAATTACTGCTCATGATCGTATCAAAGGTATATCCACAACATTTATGATTCTATTCTTCCTCAATCCTTTATGTAGTAGAAATTTTCAGATATGTGGAATAGGTATTGAGTCACTCCTATTCCACTAATTACATGTTGATTCGATAAACAGAACTTCATTTACCAATAACTCTCTCGACTCTGCTGAGTTTTTTTTCTAGAACTGCTGCTCTGTCCCACCCTAATGTGTGATTATATTCGATTGTATGCATCATAATGTTTGAGCTTTTTTCTAGATTTTCCACCGTAGTAAAGTCTGACATTGTACATTTGGTTAGCTTTCTGGGCTATTAGGATTGTTAACAGAGTAGGGATTTAGCTGGGATTTGAACTTAAAAACAAACTAAGAAACGAGCTTTCTAGGCTAGAAAATTCTATTTATCCTAATGAAGAAAATAATTCAGCTTATTAAGTTCTGTGTAATAATGATTATATGGTTAAATATATAGGTCGAAACAATGGGTCGCGATTAGTTGTACTACCAGAGCACAGGAAGTTGATCAAATGTACAATGTCAGACTTTACTACGGTGGAAAATCTAGAAAAAAGCTCAAACATTATGATGCATACAATCGAACATAATCACACATTAGGGTGGAACAGAGCAGCAGTTCTAGAAAAAAACTCAGCAGAGTCGAGAGAGTTATTGGTAAATGAAGTTCTGCTTATCGAATCAACATGTTATTAGTGGAATAGGAGTGACTCAATACCTATTCCATATATCTGAAAATTTCTACTACGTAAAGGATGGAGGAAGAATAGAACTATAAAGACAAAGTTGGAATGTTGTGGATATACCTTTGATGTGGTCATGAGTAATAAATTGTGTTCGAATCACAATCCAGTAAATAATATTGCTTAACTATGCGAAATATGCAGCAAACAAATTAATATGGAATCATGCTAAGCGAAAACTACGTGTGAACGAATACACACATTTAATTTAGACTTCAGTCAACCTGATTTCTTGATCACTCACCTTTAGCAAAGTGGTTATAGCAAGAGTTGCTATACTTCGATTTGGATCACCAATTAGCTGTTCCAGATCGAGATTGCAAGCAGTTACCGCTGCTGGGTGGTTACTGGCAACGGCGTTCAATGTATGCACAGCAGCATATCGTAACGCTGGTTTGGAGGATGTACAAAGGAGTTGCAAAACACCCACAGCAGGAGCTAATTCTTTAGCTGTTAGATTTCGAAGACTTATAATTGCACGAGCCGCTTCATATATGACCATCTCCGATTTGTGGCGAAGAGAAGACTCCAAAAATTCAAACAACTGAGGATTATTTCTAAAGATATAAATCAGAAATATTGCTTGTCAAAGGTATTTTTAATAACAATAGTTACGAAAGCGGAATCCCAGAGTAACTGCATGTGAACACAACAGTTTACTAGTCTAAATGTCATTCTCAAATGAGAATTAGGTAAACATACATTTGCACATTTGTAATAACTATTTTCAAAGAAAGTACAAGAAAAGTTGTATCTATATATGAAATTGCCGGGATTTGATCATCGGATTATGGAAGATGTAAAACTATGATTATCAGAGGACTAGTACACAACTGTAGAGTTATGATTAGCATATGAGCCAATATTTTCGAATTATAATGATCACGTGGTCCCTATTGCCGGTTATTTTTTGTGAATTGTCCTTAGATCACATCAGCAGTGCCTGCCAAAAACCATCTCTTCTGATATATATATATATATATATATATATATATATATATATATATATATATGTCATAGAATAGGACTGACATCTCTTCCATGTGTATAAAAGTTAGCAGTTAGTCAGCATGAGCTAACAACCCCACTGACGGATACGCCCACCTGATCACTATAACTAATATAAATTTCACAAATGTTTGGATCTACCAGTCACTGATGCTTTGAAGATATTACCAACTAAATGTATGTAGCAAGAGGGAGTCACTGGGGAGCGTATCTGATCTATAGTAGACTTTATGAGGTGTCACCTGTGCCAGAGGTGTACCTAGATGCGAAAAGAATTCTTCGCTGGGATTCCATCGGCTACTGACATAACTCGGTCATATGACTTTTTAGGCATGTTTGGTGAACAATGTGCTCAATCGCTCTGCTCCTTACAACTAGACTACACCCACAGAAAAACTAATTTTGATGCGAAACGCTACATTTGGAAAGAAATAGTGAAATTTTCTTGATTGTGTTTCAAGTTACTGCTCCTCTGACCACTGTCATTGCACTTCTTTTGTCTGCACAATGTTACATCACATTATGGTACATACACTATCCGATCGATACCCGCTACCTGGATATGGTGGTTGGTTTACATATCATAATGCCCTAACGAAGAATACTGGTGAGACGCTTTTTCCCAGGGGTTTTACCATATCAGAAACGTATGTTATTGCTAAGAAAAGTGCAGTTACCGTCATAGTGTATATGAGGTGGGCCGAGAGCTGCTTGGTTCTGCTGGCTGAATGGAGAGTGAAAGTAGTGAGTTGTTTCTCACGGATGATTAGTGGTACCATTCATATGTCGCCTTGCCTGTGGGAAACCGGGTTAGAAAATGTCGGTCCTTAGAATACCACATACTCCCTGTCCTACAGTGTTCCGGTACTGGTGGCATGGGTTTGCTTATTAGACAGTAGCACAATCAATTCTCAATCCAACAATCTTAAAAGGTTTGTGTGTGACGGGTCTCAAGAAGGTGTGGAACGAACTCCGTGGTCAAGCGAAACTAATCCCTTGAAGAGAGTAGAGCTGGGACTCACTGGTCTATGCACCAGACTTTCAACAAGTGGGTCACCGGTTCGAATACCGCTTCACCTACCTAGGTTTGGGCAGCCATCTAGCATTATTTGCCCTAGATGGCTTATCACCTACTACACAAAAGTGCACGAGGTTACCGAATGCATCTCCATTCGATTTTGCAGAAACAACTTGTAGGGTGTGGACAACTGGGAAGTACCAACCGTTTGAACACTTCCAGCAGCATAAGAAACCCAACTAACCATAACCTACCCTCATTACACCTCTGTCTACTCTTGTCTTCACTTCCTGTTACTAACACTAAGCCTCTTACAGCTACCTCAACCTCTCATTCTGCGACTATTGCTAACGATTTAAGCCAGAAAAACGTCACTCTTAGTCTTCTAAAATTGCGCTCCCGCTTTCGTCCAAACTCTGTGCCGAATCGGAAAGCAGGCGTCTGTTGCCGAAACTCTTGACTCTCGAGTCACAAACGTATGCCGTTTTGAAAATGCGCATGTAAGACCCAAGTATGGTTATTGACTTAACCTGACCTGGCCAAAGTGGAGAATTTGAGATTCTACGGCTAGAGACGTGCAGTTGCTAAAGTAGGTATAACATTAGGCCGTAGAGTAGAAAGTGCATCTGTCGAGAGAATACCGGTCGAAGGCGTATGTTTTCTATGGATCTGATAGAACTAGGAAGGACAGTGACAGTCAAAGATGCCTATTCCTAATCTCTACTTCTGCGTTCATCAACTTCAGTTTGGATGATACAAAAGGATGAATCCCATCAAAAGTTGTCAATTTTTTACATGAAGCGAAACGTTCAGTCATTATAGTAGGGGCTGCTTTGTTGGTATCTACGGTGTATCATATGATCAAACAGACAACGGTGATCGTCTCTTATGATTTTGTTACGACAGTAACCGGTTTCTAGCCAGCAATAACTCCAAGAATAAGGAGACAGTCTCACTTGATCTCCGCTGACATGAAAACAACGATGGACACAAATAGATCAAATTGCCGTAAGCTATCGTCTGATTAGCTGTTTGGACTCCGACCACACCATGGTACGGACACGTGTATGGTTCCGCCTAACTGGTCGCAGGAAACAGAAGGGAAACCTCTGTGCTTGACCCGTAGATGAAAATGTCAAGTATGTATTTAGGGAGGAGAAAACTAAGCGTTCACGTGGACATGCCAGCGATTCCCTTACTGATGAAGCCTGGTGTAATATTCAGTCCGGTGAAGAAACAACAGTAAAGATAGTTGGCAACCTATATCCAAAGGTTAGCAAAAACCATTGGATGTTAACAACCTTATCCAAACTAATTTAGGCAAGACTCATTCTAGTTGGTTCTGACCAAAGTGAGAAGCGAAAGCAGCTTAAGTGTAAGTTGACTGAGAGTTCCTGCAATGAACATGAGCAGTAGTGGGTGGCGAAAGTGAGAAAGTTGAAGACAATCGTAACATTATGTAACATTCGGAAATTATTTAGGTTGGGGTTAGTGAGATGGGTTTCTGATAAATTTCGACGACCGGTGGTTAGCACGTTAGGTAGAACAGTTTGACTAACCTATAATCACTGCTCACCATTCAATTTTAACTTGAAGGGAATGTAATAGTCGCTTCTCCAACTGCCCTCAAAGCTCAGAAGGCTGTTTCAAACTTGAAACGATGGGAAGCACCATGACCTGACTTGTGGCCACCTGAAGTTTTTGAGGTAGAAAATTACTGGGTACACCAACGGAGGAACCGGCTAGTGTATGGGAATCAGAGGTAGTGCCGTCAGATTGATCTAGATCCCTAACTACTCTAGTTTATAAGAAAGGAGATCTTCGTGCGAAACCCATAGTTTAATCAGTGACTAACGCCCTGTGCAACACCCTAGGGTCTATAGGCACATAATGCCTAAACGGAACCCGAGGTAGGTTGCAGACCTGGACGAGGGTGCATAGACCGAATCCTCACCATTTGACACGTTCTGGAACGCAGGCACACTTACCGACACCCGACACGACTTGAAGGAGGCTTTATCAACCAAGAAGTGGCGCAGCAACATTTGAAGCTGAAGGGAGTTTCGAGCAAGTGCATTCCTTTAATCACAGCTATTCATGATGCTGCTGGTCTGAACGATGTAGGAAGGTATAGACTGTTTGACCGGGGTCTTCATTATCAACAACATTTAGATACGACCAAACATTACTGCGTAACCGTTCAAGTTGTCACACCTGATAACAGCACACCAAGTGACGAAGTAATAAGATGAAAGATGAAGAAACAAAAAGGGAGTCAAAAGTTGCAGAAGGTAGTAAAAAAGGAAAGAGGAATAAGAAAACACCGGATTCAGTATAACTATTAAGACGACGATGATGCGTGGACATATTCGGGTCAGTGATATAAATTCTGAACCATATCACCTGGAATCACCAACCACTGGTTTTCGTTGTCATGTCGACCCCGACTGCGAAATTTACATTCCTCTACACCGCTCAGACCAACAGTCAAACTTCATGTAAGAGTGCCATGTTTTACTTTGGTCGTCTCAAACCTTTTTCCAGCCTAAACCTACTTCAGCCAACATTGCGCGAAGTGGCAGACGGCGACTACGCATGTGTAACAAATGTTCCAACTACCTGAGTGGATGAAGGTACAGCAACTGACTTTCGTTTCTCCTTAAAATTCCACACATGACTTCTGTATTACAGAGGCAGTGACACCACACCATACGGCCTATCTTACGAAGGCAACGGTGGTCGGATGATTAGGGTTTTCCGGATAATAGGGAACGACAACTAGGAGCTCCGGTTGACACGGTTGAAAATTGGTCATAATGGCGGATGCACTCACCGTTTGATGTCTTGCTAAGTTTGAATATTTCCCCTAAACTTCATTGTGCAGATCCTTTACATGTTTTGACAACTATTTTGCTACGTATCTTTTCTTTGCACGCTGCAATGGTGTGTTAACTTGAACCTATGCCAAAATGTACGAGGTTCTACGTTGATATTGGATCTGGTACATTACTGCCGACAACGCATTTGGTTGATGTTGAAATAGGTGCAAACATCTGTTCGAGCTATGGCTCAAAGACTAGGTAGTTCACTTGAGGTTAAAAGTCATCCAGTAAGCAGTACTACATAATGAGGCCATATTAAAATCAGAGGAAGTACGACCAAAATAAATGAGTCATTTATGCATACGATGACGATCTACTTGAACATCTGGTGATGCCTGGAAGAGGCGCACTGGACAGAGAGTAAGAACGAGTAACTTAAAACAAAACCAGTTGGTAAAAACACTGGAGGTTTATGTAAACGTTGTTGTGAGAAGCAACTGATCTCAATAAAACTCTCAGGATGTAAGATACTAAGATGAACAGAAAACAGAATCGTCAAATAAGTAGCTAGTAAAATTTGGATCACTTACGACTTGCTCATACTATAAGGAAGTGATTCCATACTTTTATTGGAAAAATCCTCTTTTATTTCAGCAACACGAGCGTTGGTTTACGCGACCACTATACTATTTTTAATGTCCTGTTGAAGAACAGATTTGTATGCCAACCTGGATTGTTTGGAAGCAAGCAGACATCAACGAAAGAGTGCAAGCAAACCGGTAGTTAAAACTGATACAAAAAAGTTACTGGTAAGTAAAGGGGGAGGATAGCATACTAAGTCTGGCGACTGAACTAATTACCTAGTCAGGGTCAACGGTATTAAAAAATGGATACACTTCAAGTGAGTGGAAAGTAAAACAGTGACTTACGACAAGCCTTCTTCATCCAACTGTTTAGCTACTATTCTTATCTACAGAAATAAGACTATTTTAATACGAACTTACCATTAAACAGTATGCGTATGCTGACCGTAAGGTAGACCGAGTAAACTTTTGAATCATTTTTGTGACAGCAAGACGATCGGAACGACGTATCATGTATAACAAACCAAGAGCATGGTACTGTACCATTACACGAGAACCTGAAGCAGCTTCCTGGATTTCATTTGCCCATCTTTTTATGATATCAGGACAGACATCAATCAGTCTATAAGCTGACGTCAGTACAGACGATGCTATTGCTGCAGATTTGTCAACTACAGCTTGTTTAAGATATCGCTCGATACTCTGAACCATTGCTGCCTGAAAACTAGAGTAGAAAGTATGTCTTAATTTACATCTGTTATGGTGCACAAGGCACGAATTGCTGGAGCACGAAATGCAGCCTCTGGACCAGTCATATCCTTCGTCAAGCTGAAAAGAATACATTTAGAAGTAACAAAGATACCTGCTGGTCACGATAATCACATCATCTGCCACAGTTGACAATTCTTTGATTACCAAGTACAACATACGGCGAAGATTTGGCTAAACATATGAGTCATAGTTAATTAGGAACATACATCATTAGATTGGAATAGTTTAGTCATTGCAAAGAAAGTGTCCGTTGCCTCAACTCTACCTAGTTTTTCGCTCTGAAAACTCAATAATTGAATTACAAATTATTCCCAACCTGACCCAAAATAACTAAGATCTTGGTCAGAATGTGTACACATTTTCGTGGGTTTAACGGCGTTTGGTTGAATAACCGGGCCTAGAAAACATATATGAGCTGAAGAACATAGATACCTCTTGCAATACGACAGTCTTATCCAATTTGGAGTACACTGCACCAGAACCTAGATAGACAATGGACAACTTAAATAACACGAGTCACCGATAAATATGAAGGAACAATATACGTAAGAATCCAGGTAAACTAACCTTCCTCCTCCTCTCTTTTGTCTTTCCTTTTAGAGCTCACATCAAAAAACGATGACATGACGCGTCAGTAATCTAAAAACTACGCGTCACCAGGAATGTAGGTCACTATATATTCAATTTCGATTTACATCTATGTGAACACTCAGGTTCAAGATTAAGAGGCTTAAGAATAGAAGGCTTCGAGTCTATGAAATGATGGAGAATATTTGTAGCTCAGGTGGATGGTATTAGTTGTTTTCCCTTGAACGAGTCAAGTGAGGGGGGCGGACATCACTTCCTATGTTCGATTCCAAGGGCCGATAGCTGATTGCTAGGGTAAATATTAGGAGCAAAGAGGTTCACCCTTGACTTTGTAACTCATTCACTGTGTTTTCTGAGTCGCCTGGTCCCTGTGAGAAGGGAAAGAGGAGGCAGATCTGACCCTAAGGCAATTTTAAAATTCAACATTGCTGATACACTTTTAACAAAGAGCTGAAAACAAAGAAGACAGTGGTGTTTGTACTGTTCATTCAGATGAGAAAAAAGCTATTTCAGAAGCAGTCCCTGATGTCTGCATTGTAAACTTAGCAGGACTGTGAATTCCGTACTGCGGGAATCATGAACTTCAAACTGATACACAAACAGCAAGTGAATTCCCTTGCGTTCCGCATCTTTGTTATTTAGAAGCCTAACACGTTCCTGATTGTCACACTTCTTACCTCGGTCTACGGAAACTCTGAGGAAGAAAGACACCACCTGTCACCAGTTCTCCGCCGATACTGTGGGTACTCAAGGTTACTAAGATGACTGGGAGCCTATTGAGTACGACTCTGAATAGGCTTCCTTTATCCTTTTGAAGGAGTCAGGAGAATAAGCCGTAACAACTGTGGATGAAAAGTTCCTAAATTTACACAACCTTGTTCCCAGGGAGTTAGCACGAATCTTCTTTCCTGCCCTCTAGTACTTCACCCTTGAAAGATAACTCTTGGGATGGGAGTTTCGCTTAAAGCTAAGGACGGACCCGGTAGAATGCCAAATATTTTTTTGTTGTCGGACATCCTTAGTCCGTCAGTAGTGTATACGTTGTGTTTCCAGTTCATTAAAACGATTCAGGTGAAATGAATGCCGTAGTCCAGTCACCTTTTCTCGGACCTCTTATGAAATCCCCTCCGGATACTAATGTTTTTCTTCAAGAGACAGGAATGGACAGCTTTTACACTAGTTACGAGCAAATATGTGATCCACGCACTTTTTTGAATAGATCTGCAGTTGTTCGTTCTAAAACTCGAGAGGAAACCTATTATGATCTGAAGCTCCTATTGCCGCTACGGATGAATGGATGCCTGCTGTCAACTACCCACGTTCAACAACTTCCCAGTTGATTCCCGGCCCAACTGGCTGAATGGAAAAGACAGAGTGAACGTGTAGGAAACGTGTATTTGGAATGAAGACAGCAGACAACAAACAAGGGAAAAAATTTTTTCTTATATGCATAGTTTGGCGTTTTAAACAGTAATACTGACTGGGTGGTCGATCATTCCTCAGCCTGACTATATACGTCATTAACATGCAATACACTGATTGTTCCATCCCCAGACAGGTTCTTTTTCTCCCCATCTTTTCCATCACCTCCTTTGGAAGAAAGTTATTTGAGAGCAACCCGGAACATCACTGTCTTTGTCTTTCACGTGCTTGACCGATGTACAGGGGGTCTCTCAGTGTTTACTGAAAGGTCCGTAGTTTTCTTGATATTATTTTCGCGCAGTACGCCAAATGTATGTGCCAGAATATGTAGGGGGAGCCCTTTGGCTGCTGTGTCTTTCTTAGGACATGCGCACTATCATAGTCGGTTCTTGTGTCCAATCCAATTCTCCGCTTCAGCTGTAACATCGTACATAGTGTTGCAGCGTCTCCTAATAATCATCCTTCTACCTGCTTGACGTGTTCCTCTGCGTGGTCCCCGACAAACACGGATTTCCCAGTTGTGAAGAATTTCCGGGGAACCGGTAAGCTAGTTGCAGTTGGCCATTCAGAGCGACCAGCGGGGTTTACTTATATCACAGATCGGAGTGACTATCATTTGCTTGCGGTTGGAAGACAATCTTCTTTCTGGGAATGGATAACTGAAAGGTTGCAGCAGGAAGTATGGAGTACCAGCGGACTCCCTGAACGCTGTCTGGCGAAGACTGTCGGGTTCCGGAAAGCTGCTAAAATCTAAAACCCCTGGGATTCTCATGATTTTCAAAGGTTCAATTTATCCTCTACTCAGCCTTCTCAATTCATGTGCTGTACTAGTATGACGTTGTCCTTTCCATGTGACAGGCTTCCCGCTGGTATTCCGTGGCAAGTGAGTGGCTCACTCCAGAGCTAGGGCACCGGACCTCCGGGCCATTATCTTTCTGTTTACTGAGTGAAAGACAGACATACTTTTCCATCGATGGGTAAAACGACTTGCAATAGACTGTGAGCGTTCTGAGTGTCTGCATCTGCCAAAGTATTTTTATCTTCATGGCATAACCGCCAATTTTCCAGTGGTTCGCACTAGTCAGCCACGTTCAATTCTCCTCAGGGATTGTAAACATATCTTCAATTCGCCGCACAAACTACCTCATCCGAGCCTACGGGCCAACACCAAGCGCACCTCACAATTCTCTTCAGTCCAGGAGTGAAGAAGGACGTTACAGAATAGGCTTGTTCACATATAACAAGTCAATAATGATGAATCAACGTGCATCCTGATAGCCCTTAGAATTTTTACTAGAGACAGAACCCTTTGCGAACATGTTGAGATAAACATTGTGGCTCCTGCCGGAGCATAATGGATATTTCATTGCTTTCATCTGCGCTGACCATTTAATGGGAGCGCCAGCAGCAGTAACTATCAAGGACATTAGTCCTGAAACGATCGTTCATGTTTTCGCCGGGATATAGAAAACTTTCGAGGCCGATTTTCAATAACAACGAGCAATGAGTCTTAATTCGAGTGCGAATCATTTCATGCTTTAACTGCATCCTCAATGTGGATTTAGTTCTAAGGAGTGGCTCACCATTCACGCGAAAAAAACCACTGTAAAACGGTTCTGCTGACTCATGAAGGCAGTGCCTTCTGTCGCACTCACATCTCAGAGGACCGAGACACTGCATGTGATCTCATCGGAAATCCGGAAAGCGTTAGTGATGCGTCCCCGCAGAACTAGCCCATGCAACTACTCTCCGAATGCCGGACCGATTCAATTCACCCCAGCCTTTAGATCCGTCTAACATATTGCGACTTATATTTGCAGTCCAAGAAACGCAACTCGTTCACCTGATCCTGCTCCTGTTACGCCACAAGCACCTGGTGCCCTCATACATTCCATTCCGCAGAAGACGTCGCACAATTTTGTATGCATTCTGATACATGTTTTTAGGTGTCATCCTTCCAGTAAATGCCAGAGCGAATTCTCACCCCAATTCACCGGGCCGACTGGAAAGACCTGAGAGGCAAGTGCAGCTAGCCATTCTTAGGACAGAAGGCCGTGGCTATCATGTGTAGGTGAAGACGTTGGTTCATTCGATAAGCTGCCCCATCAACCACCGTTAATTCTAATCTCACTTAAGGTTGGTAGGGGCTTTAGATGGTCCCGGGAGTAGCCTCATTGTAAATGGGGCTGTAGCTGTAGAAAATCTGCCCAGCTTGGATTCTGCACTAAAAGTAACACTGTTAATCGCCAGATTCTGCATGCCTTTACTCTTCTCGTTTCCCTTCCAGCAATTAAAACGTGTGACGTCTGCTTCGCCAGTTGCTGAGATCTGTTTTATGGAAGCGTAGGCTTCCAGGAAAAATATCTTTGGCAGTGGCATTCTGAAGAGGAGTGGCTCCATTTAGCCCTATCAAAACTAGTAAACCTGCTCACAGAAACTGGGTGAAGGTTTTCCAGCTGCTAGCCCAGATCTTACAACTTTGTGAGCGTGGCTTTGCTTGACCAATCCTTTTCCTTTGAAGTTGGTTTGGCTGTTGGCATCAGGCGTTGAATGTTTGCAGCCGCACCTCACTAGTTCTTAACCAGCCTTTCATCGCGGCCTGAATACTAGTTCCAGACGTTACGAAATGGGATTTCAGCGGCAGGTTGTAATACCCAGTAGGTTGGCTATGATTACAAGAGGAGTGAGACACTCACCAACGTAACTGACAGCCCGTCGCTCAAACAGAGCCGGCCCTATCAAAGCCAGAAACCTAGCGTATATCCTTGAGGGTCTTCGCGCTGGAACCCATAAGGCCAGAGAAACGGCAGCTATATTTGGTCATGAGGAACAGTCAAAGTACTTGATAAAAAATAAGTTTAGTTTCAAGCGCAAAGAAAAGACTGTTTTCCGAGAATGCCGACAACGTGATACGGTGTATTTCTTGCTTTAGATAGCTACTGCATTACTACAAGAGAAAAAAGTTCTGGGAAACGCGCTCAGAAAGATTCTGAGGCAAGGCATAGGGTGGTTTAGTTTTATTCAACCTGTTGAAATGCACTTACCTGAAGTTCCATTACGTGAAGTTGAAAGATTTTATGGTTATTATGTGGAATCCAAGATGTCCACTCTGTCTTGTTTTCTACTCGTCAATCTGATATATATGCCTCTCAGTAGGTAACTCCCTGGCGTTTAAGGTGATTGATCTCGGGTTCCAGTCTCGGTAGGAACGTCACTCGCCCGGGACAAGTATTTCTGGCTGGCGAGAAACAAACGGTGCAAAATGTGCGTCGCTGATTCCATTTCCAGCCATCATCCACCACCACTATAAGGTGGTCATCCGTACAGGAGCCTAAATGTTCAAGAAACCGATCAGTTTAGTTTAATCAAAAATGGGGCTATACAAGAAAAAACATAAGTTGAAAGATATCTGTGGTGGGAAAGTAGTTTTGTTTCCCTTAGGTAATAGGGTGAAATAGACGCTGTTGTTATGATCATAATAACAGTTTATCTTCAGATAACGAAACATAGCGTTATCTGAATAACGCCATGGTTACAAGCCTCTCTTAACATTTTTGAAAAGCAATAAAATATAAGCGCGTAGTGACCCATATCTTCCAATAAATTTCTTGACCGAGTGCGTATACGTTTCGCGAAATTTTCAAAGGCGATAATGTGAAAATTTTCGGAAAACATGAAC